TAGACAGATGGAGGAACTAGTCAGTTAAAGTTACCTTTAGTCTGTCAACTTAAAACCTGAATGGAGCAACTGAAAGATATGTTTCTAGGTTAGGAACCAGGTGTATCCTACAACCTATTGTAAACATTTACATTAGTTCTTGTATGAACAGTCTTTTTGTGATATATGCTGTTTATACTTTTAGACAGATGGATAGACTATGCTTTTTAAGATGCTATTTGCCTGCAAACAGCAAATCTTGATAGAGCTACTGCTAGACATGGTCCACTTCATGAATCATGTAAATCCACAGGCTACTGCACACACTTGTAGTACTACTTTACATTATGTATAGTACTTAGGATATGTGTTTTTGTATTCTATCTAACAGATGGACTAATCAGTTTAATAGACCACTAGGCCACTAGTCTGTCAACTGCAAACTTGGTTAGAGCAACTGATAGGTTGGTCTTGGTCAGGAATCATGTGGATCTTAGGAGCAATTCTATATGCTATATGCAGTAACTTTTTGTTATGCAGCAGTGTATACTATTTTTACTGTCACTATCTTTTACAGATGGATATCCTTGCCATCTGAAGATACCATTAATCTGTAGAACATCCTACTTGTATTGTTTTTAGACCATAAATTGTGGATCCAACAACCTACAGTATACTCTACAGGCTAACCATCAAGATGTTTAATTCCTAGCTTGGATCGGAATAATAGAATGTTGTCTTGATTTGTTTATCTTTAAGGAGATGTACACATTATACTGAAGTACTTTGATGTACAACTGTGGCAATCTGTTCAGTACCTTATGTAATGAATAGATGGAGATTCGGTATTTGTCACTCGTCTGTTCTTGAGGACAACTTCATGTTTCACTTGGTTTACCTTAAGATATCACTCCATGAGGCTAGGTTTATGGTTTTGTAGATCCAACAATTTGTATGGCTCTGTTTTGTCATTGAAGGATTCTGGTAAGTTCTACTATTAGGAAGTAGGATGAGCCTCCTTTTGTAGATATCTTTGGTTTGGAGCAATGTTAGCTTTGTATACTAGTGTCTACTGCCTACACAGGTGTTGATGTATCTCTGGAACACAGAGTACACTGTACACAGCTGTATCTAGAGTTTAAGGGATATAGTTTCATTCGGTTGGAAATGTTTGGCAACTGACCCAACTTTACAATCTAGATCTTTAAGTCAGACACTTCTATATTGGTCTGGACTGCCTTGAGGGTCTCCCCGTGTCCACATTTACAGTGGATCTTCAACTATCAACTGGTTTTTATCAGTTCCTAGTAGTAGTATGGTCCCTAAAAACAATGCCCTATCAGACCTTGGTGTTTATTATATACAGGTTACATAGGGACTAGGCACAGACTGTTTATACCTTACAAGAAATGGGGGTACTTCACCACATTACCCTTATATCTTGTTATCATAGGTAATCTACTTTTTATTTCTCATGCAATTACAAATGCTCCAGCAGAAAGTAGACTTTTAGGGAAGATACGGCCATGTATAAATTAGAGCAATATCTTCTTTTGCCTTACACACTAGTCTCATCCTTGCTGAAAGGGTATTTTACAAGTATATAAAATACTTATAAATACAAATACTGTACTTGTAAATGCTAAATTTAAGCATAAATGAAGTCTTTTTAAGAAGGATGACTAGTTTATCCCTTACATTGTCTTCGAAGACATGGTCCTGGGCTTCCCACAATAAGTTTACAAACTATTCTTTGTGGAATGTCACAGTGATAGAGAGAAAATCTTCAAAAACTGGTTTTAGTGAGAGCTGTCTACAACAAGTAACTTTTATGTTTTTCCTTGGTGTAGATGTTTTTGACTCTAGAAGGACACCAGTTAGATGTCAGGGATATTACTGCATTTTAGGGGATGTTTTTGTTGTTCAGTTCTTCTGATTTCAAGAACTCTCTTGAAGACCTACATAGGGGCATGTCACTGTTGTAACTTTGTTCATCAAACTTGCCTGCTTCTTAGCGCATTATAGATATGGTTTTCACCAAAACTATGATACCTAGGACATCATGCAGTCTCCATATTCTTTGTTGTTCAGTTCCTCTAATTTCAGGAACACTCTTGAAGACCTACATAGGGGCATGTCACTGTTGTAACTTTGTTCATCAAACTTGCCTGCTTCTTAGTGTATTATAGATGTGGTTTTCACCAAAACTATGATACCTAGGACATCATGCAGTCTCCATATTTTGTGTTGTTCAGTTTTTTCTGATTTCAGGAACACTCTTGAAGACCTACATAGGGGCATGTCACTGTTGTAACTTTGTTCATCAAACTTGCCTGCTTCTTAGTGCATTATAGATGTTGTTTTCACCAAAGCTAGGATCTCAAGGACATCATGCAGTCACAATCCAGGATTCTAGTAAGTAAGTTTATCCCTTTCTTAGATGTTGGATTCTAGTAGGACACCGATGAGATGTCAGGTACATTACTGCATTGTAGAGGGGTGCTCTGTTGTTCAGTTCGTCTGACTTCAGTAACGCCCTTGAAGACCTACATAGGGGCTTGTCACTGTTGTAACTTTTGTTCATCATACCTGCCTGCTTCTTAGTGTATTATAGATATGGTTTTCACCAAAACTATGATACCTAAGACATAATGCAATCTCCGTTCAGGATTCAGCTGTGGATAGGAAAGGGATGTTTCAATCACAGGACGACTGGTTTGTTGTGTGACACAGTAGGATGGTAATATGTTTATCTTATTCTTACTTTGTTTTTGGGTTTTCTCCCTCCACCATAGTTTTTTATTCAGCATAAGTCATGGAATAGGTTGGATTGTATGTAATTGTGAAATTTTACAAAAGTAAATTTTCTATTAATTACAATACAAACCTATTCCATGACCTGAGGCCCACCCAGCCTCCCCGCAGTATTTTATTTGGTATGTTTTATCAAGTTTTACTGCGTACTATTTATGAAGGCATGCACATATATTGGTATATATAGGGGTGTAAGGTCTTGTATTTTGATATTTTTAGACTCGTCCATTTTTCCAAATTAGGGGTATAAGCATAAGTCATGGAATAGGTTTGTATTGTAATTAATAGAAAATTTACTTTTGTAAAATTTCACATTTTGTAAAGATGAACCCAGCATTTTACCTTGGCTCAAATTTTGTATGATGTAGCCTTAGGGACAAAGGACCTGCTCAAGAAGAAATATTCAAGATGGTCTCAGAATTCAAAATTGCCATCATTTTTAATGAAATTTTTGATAATTTAAAGAAATTTGATTCCTGATAACACAAAATACTGATTATTTGATTTGGTATCATAGGCCTGAGCCTTTTCGTGATCTGGTGATGCTACTTGAGAAGGAATTTCTAATATGGTAATTTTCCCAAAAGGGAGAAGACAATAGTAATGCCAGGTTATTGCTATCGAATGTTCACAATGATAGTATTCAATAGAAATATGTTTCATTTGGTGGGAATTGCCCCTCAAGCATTCTGATACTCATAACATCTTTCTGTTTCACCATCTCAGGGCTGAGAAGAAATGAGAAGTCATGGTATATCATGATGCCCCTCAAGTGAGTTGCTATTTTTTCTAGTAGGATTTAGATCAAAATTTTAAAGTTTCAGTTGTCATTTGGATTCATTACAAAACATTAACAAATTATAGTTTGAAATGCTTAGAATGCACCATATACAATTGTCAATTTTGAAAAATTTCCGGGGGTGAACCCCCGTAACCCCCTTCTGGTTTTCCATCGCTCGCAGTGATGCATACCTCAAAAAATGCACCCCCTTGACACTTGCTGACTATGCCCCTGTACATGTATGTTTACCTTTGGCCTTATGCAATGTAAAATATGTAATATTAAAAATAAAATGTATCAGAAATAAATTAGTGAATAAGACTGCCTGTACAAGTAGTTAAGGCATGAGAAATGGTACTGAAGGAGAAACCCCAAATGTTTCATAATAAGTCTTTTTGTCTTGAATAATACAGTTGTTTGAGACTTTTTAGAGGGCGCGCGAGGAAAATTAGATCTGGAAATTTCCTTTTTTGCCTGGAAATGTCAGGGAATTGTCAGGGAAATTCATTTTGAAAAAGGTGTACGAACCCTGTAATACTCAATCATGCAGGCGCTGGCCGATTAATCGGAACAAATGTGACCAGGTCATTAGTTGAATAAATGAACAGGATGGGGAGCTATGATGTCTGATTGCAACAGTATCTGTCCCTGTCTTTGTGAAACTCCAGCATCCTAGACTACTTGGCCAAATCCACCACTGAACCCAAACAGATTCAATTAGAATTCTTTGAATTCTGAAATGTAAGGTGAACAAGTTTATGAATGCAACTGAAAATATTTTATTTTGTTTAGCCATCAACATTTGCATTGTCCAACGTAGTCACATCAAGTTATGTGCAATATAAAATATAGAATCCGAGCAAAGAAGAAACATATTCAATCTTTCTTTGTATTTTTGAGAGTTACTTGAAACTGGATCATGCCCCACAACCCCTTACAAAATCATACAAGGTCCCACAGGACCCACATGGTTTATAATGTAAGGCTATATCGATCGTTTATTATCCCAACGAACGAAGTTCGGTAGGGATATAGTGAAGCCCTCCATCAGTCCGTCAGTCCGTCAGTCCGTCCGTCCGTCTGTCCGGAAGATAACTCAAATATTAGTTGACGGATTTTCTTCATATTTGGTGGAAAGATGTATATTGATGAATAGTTTTATGCAAGAAAAATTTTTTCAAGATGGCTGCCGCTTTAAAAATGACAGGACTTTTTTGCAAAAATCATAAATTTTTCATTCTAAACCAAATAAATTAATATTATTGTTTGAAATTTTGGTAGTAATTCGCAACATCTATCTATTTCACATATATATATATATATATTCGGGGGCCGTGTATGGGGGTCAGGAAAACAGAAATTTCCGCGGAGTTGCCATTATCTAGTTAATTTGTGATATTTATTTTATTTGTATGTGTAACTCCAGGTTGAATATATTACTTATGAGAGCAGAGAAGAAAGAGGGCGCTCTTGTTGCTAGGAAGGTTGGCACGGTTACCATGAGTGAAGCCAGGATTCAAGCTACCCTTGGTAAGTTATCCCCTCCCCTGTAACCCCCTTATATACATTCTTATAAAAAATGAGCGACCCTAATTATATTTGTATTAACTGTATTATCATGTAACCTTACATTATAATGTAAATCTAAAACTTGAATACAAAAAAAAAAAAAGTTATCAAGATTTCTATTATTTTGTCCCCTGTATTTTTAAGTTGCCACTTTTGTCCACACATGTAGAGGCTAGATAAAATATATAATATTCAGAGGCGTAGCTAGCCCATTTTGCGAGTGTACGCCCGTATGATTTCCCGGTTTTATCAAAATTAACAAAACGATGGTTCCACAAAATAGGAAGATCCCGGGTGTTCAGAAGATAGGGGACACACTAAACAATCTTAATTCAATGAAGGGAATATGTATTGTTTGATCATTTTGACATAGCTTTTTAAAGGGATTGAATTAACTGTATTAACAGATAATATTCAGGAAACAAAATAGACAGATTCTATATAATCATGCCATCGGCGATCGAAGCCGTCTATCAAGGCGATTTTATTTTTAGGCTACCTAAAACTGTATGTATGAGGCTCATTGTTTTAAGCTTTTGTGGTCATTCTCCATGAAATATTATTTTTTTTTTCTGTGTTTGTTTTTATCTAGCTCACAAGATGATTAATAATAAAAGAACAGTTACACGACCGTCTCAACTCCATTTCGGATCTTAATAATCTGTACGTGATTCTATAGAATAAATTCTATCTTTCTGTTTTTTTGCATTTGCGAACATGTCAATAACAGTATCAATGTTTATATCCTGTTCCCTATGGATATGTATCATGGCCGAGGAAAAAAGTCTTTCCTCGTTCATTGTGGAACGCAAGTATGACTTAATGCGTTTCAAACTGCTAAAGCTTCGTTCAGCCACGCAAGTGGATACTGGCAATGTTAGCAGCTGGACCAAACACGTGTAGACATCTTCATAGATCTCCAATCGATTTCTATCTCTTGGTAAAATATTTATTTTTCATCACAATTAATCAGGTAAATTTTATTTTTCCTTAAAATTTGAGAGTACGCCTGGGCGTACTTGGCGTACACGTAGCTACGCCACTGATATTGATTCATTTTCAATATTCGGTCAAATTGCATATTAAGATGTGGTTTCAAAAATCACCAAATGAAATTTTATTATGATTTGTACATATGCTTTCAGGAGATGAGATGGAAGTTGAAGGGTCATTAGGTGGACTACAAGTATTAGATCTAACTCCAGAAGGAAGCCATTACCAGAAGGTTTTCAGCGTAGGCAATGACCCCGCAGAACCCGAGAGCCTAAATGAAAACTCTCTGATCTGCCCTGTGCCCGGTGATATGTACAAGACTGCTCAGGATTCGTCCTTATTTCAAGACTATTCTTTAGCTGAACAAGAAAATAAAGCATTCACGTTTACATACACGAAACCAAAATCTGGATCCTCACCGTTGCATTCCCCGAAAAAATTAAATGAAAGTCAAGTGTATTCAGCACCCTCTGGTGGGGATGATCGGACTAGTTTACGGCTACGTTTAGCCTCAATGTGTTATGTTCACGCCCCCCAATATTTGAATGATTTATCACTTTGTGTTAGTGAGTTTAAGGAGTACACGGCTGAAATGGCCAAATCATTGAAATATGCCGCAACAGATATAGCTCTAGGGCTTGTTTATAAAGGAGAAAGAGTACCAGGGAGTTTATACGGTAGTGCAATGAGCCTTGATGGTACTTTTCGACCAATGAGAAGAGCTTCATCTGTGGATAAATCAGGGATGGATACATGTATGTTAGACGTCTCTGAGTTATCGGACGATTACGCAGCTCCATCATCGTTAGACCTCGATGTCTTACTGCAAACTCCCATTATCATTCTACCTAGGACATCTACGAATACAGATGCTTTAGTCGGACATCTTGGTACTATAACGATCAAGAATAAATCAACGACACCTCCGCATCCTGTCGAGTCCACCCCAGCATTCCATTTTGAACCAGTTGACCAATCAGATTCTGACGTGATACATGTCGAAATTAAAGACGCAAATTTATATGCAGTAAATGAACAATTAGGGAAGAAAATTCCCCCAAAATCTAGTCAACAAACAGGCCATATAAGGGCATTAGAAGCTTATAGGAACCCGGAATACGGAACCCAGATTATCCATGACACTGTTATCACCTTGACGATTGATAAATCAGCGTCTGAGGCTGTTTATATCAACCCAGAAAAGAGTGGACCAGATTTTACGCTAGATGAAAATTTTATGCCTAAAAGGCCAGTGGATGAAACTTTGAACGTAGAATCAAATTCTAATATCTTGGATATTAAGGGAAAAATTGTGAAACCGCTAAAACTTGAGCTTTCAAAGCCGATATATGAGCAGATTTTGCAAACTGTTGATAATTTAACATATAAGGACCCAATCCTGGAAAGTGATGATGTCACCGAGCAACCTTCGCATCTTAGTGACATCAAAGAAGAACCAAGTCTGTCATCCCTTAAATTGGAAGAGTCCATGTCAAAATCATCACCAAGGCCAGAGCCATCTTTTGCTCAAAAAATTGATGAGAATAAAGACTCAACGACAATTAAAGCCACATTTGAAATGCCGTTGTTCCAAGTTGAAATGAAAGGTGACTTCGGAGATGGTGAACAGGGATTGGTCGATTTAAAGCTGTACGATTTTTCTGTTGTTTTTGAGAAAACGGACCCGCAAATTACCTCGATCCAACTCCAACTACGAGCTTTGGTAATGGACGATCTGCTCCAAGATGTTGACTCGAAGCATCGCCATTTGATGGTGTCATCAACAGTGGCGACCCCTAGTGATCAAAATGACATTGTCGAACCACGCATGGTTTTATCATCATCATGTCCCGATAGTATGATCGCAGCCCCCCAGGCTTATATCCCCTCATCCCTCCCAACATGCCTAAATAAGGAGAATGTTTTTAATCCCCAGGGTAACAAGTCTAAGCCCATGAAGATGCCAGGGGGCAGGGGGCTTCCTGCAATGAGAGGACGTGGGGAGAGGTAAGTCAGACAAATCACTAAGGCCATTCAAAATTGATTTTGTTTAACAGTACCTCAATGTGGGCAATGATGCAACTCCCAGCTCATCATGTATTTTTTCATGTATATTTGATTTCAGATCCTCTGAAAGAAAAGTGATTAATATAAGTTCTTTTAACTTTGAGCATTTTAACTACATACAACATGAATCTTTTGAAGGGTTACACATCATTTGCAATTTTTAAGTACCCCACTGTCGTATCAAATTTGGGGTCAAAATGATATTACCTACGTATATTCGAACATGATTCTTATTTACAGATCTTATGAGTACCCATGTACCCCGCCTCCCTCTCCTAGGTTATCCAGGAAGCCATCACGCGTAGAAAACCAAGACACTCTCGTCAATATGAAAGTTCTGCTAGTCGATAGAGAGTCCCCATTATATGCAGCAAAATACAATAGGGTGAGTATATGAATGAATTCATACAAGTTTTATTTGCCTCCTAGATATAGATGAATGGAGTTTATTCACAGGAAGGGTCTGTATATGGGTTTTACCTCTCTACAGACAGTCTCCTAAATATATGATTAAATGTACAGTAAAAGGCATCTGGGTGAACACTTCTCTTTGGTGAACACCTGTGTTTAGTGATTTTTGGAGGTTACAGTTGTGTTTGGCTAAAATGGTGAGGCTATGGAAGCTCCTATTCACCTGCCTATCAGTCAATAATTTTCAGACAAATCAAAACCGTCATTTGTCTGATTTGAAAACCGTCATTTGTCTGATCTGATGAACTGTGCATTTTTCCTAGAAAACCCATATTTCACATTATTTGTTTGTGTAGTTCTCCAAAATGGATCCATATAATTTAATGATTTATATTCCTCTTGCTTAAATCTGGCACAATTCATTGGTCCCTTGGTTTAAATCCTTTATCAATACAGGCATATGCTATATCCACAAGATAACTTAATCATGATATTTTTTAAACTTTCTGATAAAATGATGCTCTGCTTTCAGACAAATCGCTTTGTAGATGTTGACTTCAGTGGCCTGGATACCATCTTGAATCTACAAACGTGGGTTGTTCTACTAGATTTTATCGGTATGGGTGCCAAAATTCACGATGTTGATGCTATGAAAGAGAAAAATGACGAGCAAGCTGAGAGTAGAGCAGAATCCAGAGCAGAATCAAAATCTTCGCTTGGTATGTAACACTAATGGATATAGAGATTATCCTATATGAGGTCTGGGATAATGGAATTATCCAGAGGTCAAAAAAATGTCTCTGCCTTAGGTTGAAAGTCTCGAGGGCATATAAAATACATTACCACGATTATGAACTGGCTATAGGATGATCTGTCTATCCTCTTCTGTGTCTTTCCAGAAGTGTTATCATTTTTGAGTGTGAAATTTTTTTTCAAAGAAAACATACATGTGCAGGCCCATAGCCAGGGGGGGGTTCGATGGGTTCAAGCCCCTCCCCTGGCCAAAGAATCTTTCAAAATCATGCAGTTTTTCACCATTCTGAGCACTTTTAAGTGATCTTTGGACCAAAATTGTCACAAGTGAACCCCCCTTGCAATTTTTCAAAAAGTGAACCCCCTTGGCAAATCCTGGCTACGGGCCTGATTTACAACAACAGGCTTTAAATACAAGTGCTTCAAATGTGTTCAGGTATGGAATAAATAATAATAATAAATTGAGAGGTTTTAGATATGGGTTTATTCTGAGGGAAATACATGTAACTTTTTAACATTAAACCTGGTTGAAGGTATAAACTCTGTACTTTTAGAGAGTCTTAAAATATTTTACCTGATTTTTTTTATCATCAAACTTGTGAGCTAAGAAATAAATAATTGTTACACATAATAGTGTATGTATACATACAGTATAGACATTTTTGGATTAAGTAAACATTTTTTTGCAGAATCCACCGAAAATCCTTTTGTGAATACTGAAGTTGAACTAAAAATCCAGCACTTCAATCTGGTTCTTAACAAGCCTGAATATGAGCTAGCAGCCTTCAATATGGCGAAGTTCACCAGCCATGTATCGGCACGTGACGGCAATGTCCATCTCGTAGGGAAGCTAGGAAGTGGGAGCATGTTAGACAAATCGCCAAATGGGAGATATTACCCAGAACGCTTTCTCACAACGGGATCTGAGGCTCTGCATTTTGACTTTTTCAAGTAAGTTCAACTTACTGTTTGATGTTTTCTTAACTAAATTTTAATGTTATAAAATACGTTAAATATTTTCTTAATTTATTGCTCAGATGGTTAGTGTTAAGTCATTGTTGTCTGCCCATCTGTCTGTCATTAAATTTCTGACAAGGGAAAACTGCCATATATCTGAACCAATGCTTATATCCATTTCATATCAATTTCCTAGGCATCAGTACTAGACCTAAGTACATAATAGGTTCTGTATTTAAAAGACTTTCCTCAAAATCATCAATTGCCAGATCCGAACAATTTATTTTTTATCCATTTGATATCAATTTCCTAGGCTTCAGTATGAGACTTAAGTACACAATAGATCTGTATTTAAAAAACTTTCCTCAAAATCATCAATTTCAGATATGGGTTGCCAGATCCCAACAATTTACGTCCATTTGACATCAGTATAAAGGTTCGAATGTCTTCTGTGCGTTATACACATACTCAGCGATTCATGCAGGAGCTCTTGGCATTTGGGCAACATTTTAATCAAAACCAAGACGTCCTTGGGAGAATGAGGGCAGCGTCAGATGGCAAAAAGGTGAATTATAACTTAATGAATTTTTTTATACATACACTGTACCTACATGTATATATGATTTTTTAAAAACTTTTTGTAGTTTCAACTCATTTTCACATATATTATTGAAAGGACTTCTCTGTAACTCAGTTATGTGAAATCAAGCACCTTCAGAGATTCGTTTTTCTAATCAGATATTTTGTGCAGTTTTTATCCCTGTGCCTTTGACTTCAGAAACGTTTGGCTGTATCTCCTTTCACAAACACTTTTCCTTTGTAGATAACTGAAAGTGCTCAACGTGGTTCACGTATCAAAATGGACATTGAAGCGGGTGCTCCTGTACTCCTCATCCCACATAGCAGCAGGTCTAAAGATATTCTTGTAGCTGATCTTGGTATGTATATGTTCTCAAATAATAAATCGCTTCTCTAGCGGCAAAGTGTTCCATAACACAAGGCTACTTTAAATGTGGGTCACTCACTGTCTACTCTTTTAAATGTTTTGAACCATGTGGTTGGATAATTTTTCGTCTCCATGATAAAAAGCTCCCTGTGACTGTAATATCTTAAAATTGGTTGATAGTGCCTTATAGGGCAAAGGGGTGTAACAGGTGCGTTGTATGGGGTAACGTCAACATAAATGAAGGGGTAACTTTGACACTTACTTATAAGAAGTAGAATTTTTATTTTCCGCCATTTTTTGATTTCTGGAAAAATTAAAATCTCGCGAGATGTTGATCCATGCGCGAAAAAAAACATGGCTTCCCCCTAGATCGGAAATTAGAGCAGATAAACAACAAGGTGTCAAAGTTACCCCACATGTAGAAGTTACTCCAAAATTGTGTCGACCCCTTGCCTTCACTCTAATTGTCCATGCCCTTACTGTTCCCAGTTTTAATAGCAGATTTGGGTAAAGAAACTTATCAGCCTGGCGCCGGACCAAAAATCAGAGCAAATGTGACTTAGGCATAAGACAAGACAGTTCTAATACCTACAACCTCCGATCACAAGGCTTCAAAATCCAGAATGTATTCTTTCTTTTTATTACCCCCTGAGATAAGCAGTTAGCATTAAGAACTCACAATCTGATTGGCTGTCGCAATACTGTGACAGAAATCATGTATAAGTCATTGCGTATAATAAGATCATGTGATTCAGTTTAATTGGGCGCTTCCATTCTTGGTTATAGGTTATAGGGGGAAGAAGGAGGTATGGATTCTGGACACCTACTTAGGAGGATGTCATACCTAATACTTGATGTGATGAATCTATCAGCAAAGGATACAATTTTCTCTCATCCATGATTTAAATGTGATATCATGTATTTTAATATTTGCTTCAGGCACATTTACCCTACACAATACATTCATGGTTGCCGGGTCACCAGGAACTATTCAAGCTCAAAGAGAGGCTAAGAGGCAACGGGCGCAATCCACTCGTGAGTCTGAGTCAGAAAAGACAATTTTTACAACTGACAGTTTTGACAATGTGAACCAAACAGAGGGGAAAGTTCCCGATTTAATGTCACAGTCCTTATATGGAAGTCTTGATGGTGATTGGCGGTCGGAAGATATTCTGTCACCTGTGACGTCATTGGAAACTGGAACACTTTTGACGGAGTCTGAATCATTCGAGCAAGTTTTAGTCGCTGAACCAAGTTTCGAATCATTAATTGACTTGGGTGAGGGCTCAAGTGGACAATCCAGTTCGCAATGTTCCCCAAGAGAGCCCCCTGGTGCCAGCCCTTCAACTTTATCCCAAGGGAGCCTCATTGAAGATAATTCCAAAAGAGGCTCTTTAGGGGGAAAGTCAGAATCCCCTAAGGAGCCCCAGTCAATATCTCCAAATAAGAACTGCAGTGAGCCCGAAGATTATTTATGTCTGTTAGATGTTTTAGAAGTTCATTTAACAGACATGGATCTCTATTCTGCTCTGAGGGTTGAAAAGTGGGACTATCATCGTGACCAACTAGGCCAAGATTTAGAGTACCCATCCTGTGTAATACAAAGACAGGTATGATAAACTTAATTTAAGAGAAATTAACAAATGAGCATTTAATTGATTATAATGCTTTTTGCTACTTTTGTAAATAGAAGTAGAATATTTAAGAAAGAATATTCCAAACAGAATATTTTTGCATTTTTATTCTAGAATAAGTGTATGATAAGCTTTGAATCTATAGAAGATTGGATTAAATAGAAATATTTGATTTTAAAAAAGTGTTCAATGAATTTAATAAGAAAAATTATATTTGAAGGAAAACAAACTGTTGAAAAAAACATGTTCTCTACTACTTCAAATTGAGCGGAATCTTGAAGGAGATATTAGTCACAACGTTCCAGACTTTTGTGTCCAGGGGGCACTGTCTTCAGTCCATTGTTCGCTAGATCTCAAAGAATATCAGCTAGTTCGAGGGATTCTTGATCACAATCTTGGGGAACCCCTAGAAGAATTCCGGCGTCCCATGATGTCACATCTCCAAGATACCCAAATCCAGGCAAGTATATTTTTGAAAATGCGAAAATGTGAATCTTTAAAATGTGAATAACCTTGGTGAGCCATGTATGTGGTTAGATTGGTGCTAGCGTCCCACTTTTCTTGTCTTCACATTATCCAGATTTCGGTAAAAATACATTCCCATGACCTAGATATGATTAATTTCATGTCCAATTTTGAGAAATCTAGAATCTATATATGTAAGTACAATTGTTTACATTTGTTTTTATTTTTATATCTTGATTTTGTTTTCAAATGTATTATTGTTTCCAGACTGTGCTTAGTGGTGATGTTTGGAAGGTCGTTTCCATGACGTTAGATCTTGTGAATGTCACAGTTGAACTTTTGGTGGCTCATGAACAAGATGGCTGCCCTGAAGCCTCACTTGCGCAATTAGACTTTAAAGCGTCAAAGTTGTCCTTTGAAAGTTTTTCCAACCAATCAAAAGACATAGATCTGGTTTCGCATGAAATTCTGGCTCATGATACACGATACAGAGGTATTTTTGTGTTTTTTCAACTTGTGCAGAATATTATTCCAATTACATACATTAGCATTATGAGCTAAGCAAATGGAAATCAAAGCAAAAATAAACTTTAATGTCAGAGAATCATCAGATTTGAGAATTTTTTGTTTGATTATTAAACGTTAAGTCTAAATAATTTATGATATTGATGAAGTACTAAAGTATTTTGTAAAAAGAAAATAAACTCATTCTTGGACACACATACAAGAATGAATTCTTTACAGTTTGTTAGACTCTAGACTATTTATTGTCATTATTGAACAGAGTGAAATCAAAAAGATTTTTATTCTAGATGCACCAGCAAATTCCAGGCCCAACGTATTTTCAAACATTCTCCAACCCATACAGGACCGCCTCAATCCCGACTCTTTGCAGATGGAGGTTCATTACCGCTCAAAGAAACAATTTACATGCTTCACAATTTTATTGAACGATATGAGATTGATGGGGATATTTGATTGGTTGTTAACAGTGAAGGATTTTCTCGCTACTGGTGCAGAGAATCCATTCCAAAATGGTAGGTTTTACTTGGATTTGTACATTTTGGTAATGTTAAAAACATGGCACTATTGTAACACATGAAAAAAATTCTCTGAGATGTTGGGGCTTGCGGATAGCCGAGGTTCTCAAATATCAACTAATTCAAATATCAACTGATGAACTATTTAAATGGCAAAATGTTCTATGTATTAACTCAAGTTATAGAATAAAGAAAATATTATTGTGTGTATTATTGAGTTATGAAGTAATAGTACAATAACGTCATTTCGAAGGGCAATATAGTGAAATATAGGACCGAGGGCCGCTCATATTATTACCACCGTTAATGCCCAGGGCTGAAAGAACAAGAACTGAACGAAATCTAATTTCCCGGGGAAAATTGCCGGTCGTTAATGCATTATTGACCGGCAATATGGCCTGCCACTATGATGTCACATATTGCTTAGGTCGATATAGTAAAATAAATGCCTTCTAACTAATACCCCTAGAACAGGCCCAACAAGGTGGTAATAATGTTAGTTTATTTACAGAAACATAAACTTCAATGAACCAAGATGTCAAATACAGTAGTTATAAATGTTGGCAATTAATATTTGGATGCTTTTGTAAACTAATGGAATACAATTGAATAAGAAATTATTTTAGTGTGTTAAGATTCAACATATGTTAATACACCAAAATCCTACACCAAAATTAGACATTGTTAATACACCAAAATCCTACCAAAAATTAGACATTATTTATACATGAGAATCTTATGTTGTTACAGACCCTAGAGAAAACGGTATTGATGACAATGAATATGAAACGACAACTACACCTTTGACAGTAACAGAAAGTCTTAGACAGCAAGCAAGGAGTCCACTTTCTATTTCTAGCGGGGTGCTCACTAAACGAGCTACTGTTTTAGACAAGGTATGAACAATTTCTTGTTACTAAAAAAGCTACAAAGATGAGATACAAAATAATTTCTTATAAGTTGATTGATGATAAGCACAATATTTTCAGAATTTTTTGATAATAAATTGATATATTTTCGGAAGTAACCAAGTTGATTGATGATAAAGCAATATTTCAGAGAACAGGTTGATTGATGAAAAAATTGATTTATTTTAGGAGGAGTCTGTGTTTGAGCTGAAGGTCAATGTAACTCAAACAGAACTTGTCGTTGTTGAGGATGCATCTGCCTGGGACACCAATGCTCTCATTCTAAAGGTAAATATGTATGTCCAAGTGCCAAATAGCGACATCCTCCGATCAAAGGGCTTCAAAATCCCCTGCGATAAGCAGTTAGCATTTCCTCGATTAAGAACTCGCAATTTGATTGGCTGTAGCAACACTGCGACAGAAATCATGTATAAGTCATTGCGCATAATTAGATCACACGATTCAGTTAAATCGGGCGCTTCCAAATTGGTTATAACAGGAGGGAAGAAGGAAGTATGAATTCTGGACACCTGCTTAGAAGGATGAATAGCGAAGGAGGGTTCCGTTTCCTTTGTTCAGATTTTCAGGAAAGCACCTTTGGCATGCATGCTCAGAACTGTTGTCTTAACAAAACCTGGATAGGGGTCACCCAAGATTTTCATTTCATTTCAAAGGGAAAGGACCAAAAATTGTAAAGGAACCCAGCAAGAAAAACAAAACATCTAAGAATACACTAGTCAAAAGGTGATGATTGAAATGATTTGTGTATAGATAGAAATGTGTAGCGTGACTTCAGATTTGCGTTATATGATTTCAAGTACAAAAGCTCCTGATTGGGCTTTGATGGAAGTCTAGCGAGTTGGTTAAAGATGAGACTGAACAAAAATCTATTTTCAAAAAAAGAAAGTTCATATCTCAATTGAATGGTGAAATGCAGATAAAACGATCTGCATATGTGCACACATTTAAGACATTTTTAGCAATTTATGTAGGGTCAGACTGACAAAGAGTGCCCCTTTAATGAAGGACAGTGCAGCACGACAGAATATTATTTGTTTTCAGAGCACTGCTGTACTGTCATTCCGCCCAAAACTAGTGGAGCGCCCTCTATCGTGTAGCCTTCAAAGCCTGGAGTTGTTCTCTTGTTGCCTCGCATCAGAGGAAGAAACTGCCCTCTCTATAATAGGTAACTATTTATTTGCCTTATTAAACCTGCACTTCGCTCCAAAACTCAATCTTGGGTTGTTTCGGGGTTGAACTTTATCATTTTGAGCTAAATGAAAGATTATAGAATGATGAACAAATGGGGCAAATATTCTGTACAAATACTCACGATAAATGTGTCATTACAAAGATTGTTCATTGAATTGCTTCGATTGCCGACGACGATATGATTTTTGGAAGGTTTCTAAATTAAGAACGTGATATCACTTCCGAATTATAGCATTCAACATTAGTAGCGTTTAATTACATATGTCATTCATAACAAGTTGGTAGCCCTGCGGTACAATGCTCGCTCAGCACGCAGGCGGGCCGGGTTCGAATCCCGCGTTCACTTTTTATTTTTTAAACTAAATGATTGTTCTTTGATATTACGCAGAAAAAACAATTTTTATTTACAGTAACTTTATATTAGATATTGAAAATGTAAAAACAATATATGTCAACATATTGCGTTTTGGAGCGATGTGCAGGTTTAACTATTGAATAAATATGAGAAAAGATTTTTATGCTTTGTTTTAAAACAATTTGCATCGATCTAGGTTTTGCATTTTCAGATTTCAAATTCAGTATATTGCTATGTCACCGCCAGAAGTGGTGAATGATTGTTTTAGTCTCCTACTTTTTGTGGATGGTGTTTGGTGGTCAGCATTCGGTGGTTAGTGTCCCAAATGGCAGGTGGTAACATTTTGCATGTTAACCCCTTGTTCGCTCTTGTTGAAATTGTATTTATAAAGTGACTTATACAAATATACATAAATAATTAAAGATCCTATGACGCTAACAGCCGAGTTGAGTGGGGGCAACATGCAGAAGGACAAGGCAGGAGGCCCAAGTGGCCTGCTTGATGCAACAGGAGAGGATGATACCCCACCTTTATTGGAGGTCTGTACTTATACATTGATTTTAGTATAGATTCATCACATATTGTTATAGCCACAGGCCTGTAACCAGCTTTTGTCATGGGCAGTTAAATTTTCAAAAAATTCTAGGGGGCTACACATTTGATAATTTTAGCCCAAAACCACTTGAAAATGCTCAGAATGGTGAAAACTGCATTATTTTGAAATAATTTTTTGCCAAACCCCCAAATCCGGCCTCCTGGTGATTGGCCTAGTTACCATTTTTGTGCCTGGGCCTCCATTGCTTATTACAAGTTAAGTTATTTTTTTGTTTGCAATTGAATCACAAAAGGTGGTTATATTTTGTTGTGTTAATGCAATGTATATAATTTTTCGAATACAATCAAATTCCACAATTTTGAGAAATTGAAATATACCACCTGGTTGGAACATTTTTGCGTCAAAACCTTGTTTGAAATATGAAACTGACTTTGTTGTTATATTCTACATTCTACTATGATACGTGACGTCACACTAGCTAGAACAATTGATTTACTGGTCGATATTGGAGTATATATGACCAATAAAATTCATAAATCCAAAAAATCATGTTTCTTGTCTGCTTTTTATATGAGAATCGTAACAAAGTGTGATTTTATGATTTATGTCAAATATATGACCTCAAGATTTATTCTGCCCATTGCCAAAGACCTCAATCGCTACGATTTCGGTCTTTTAATAATGAACAGAATAAAATTTTCGGTCATATATTACGCCATAAATCATAAAATCTCGGTCTTTATTCCTTAATTTTATAATGCTTATTTCAAATGTTCATTTATGAATGGTTTATTTAGGTGAACTTCACTACTTTGAATATCCGAGTTTCATACAACGACATGAGACTGTTCATGGGTATTCTCAACTCGATACCACAACAAGCTATGCAAGCTAAGAATCAACCCAGGAATGCTGAACCCCCTCCCCCTGACACTGCCACACCAGCTAGTAAATATCCAGGTATTATATGAATACATGGTATATATGAAATATGTATGTGTTTTGAGGTTAGGTTGGTTAAAATGTAAAGTGATTGTTAGTGTTATGTTATTTTGCAATATGAGAGATATATGGATGACAGATAATGTAGATTATGACACGCCTACTAATAAGTACCCAGGTGATATGCACGATTTTGATGGAATTTTTATAATGAATTTTGGAATTGTGTGGTTACAGTGTTAAATGGTCATTATTTTGGTTCTTTGATATTTTATTATATAAGTGATGTAAGGAGTGTAAGTCAGTAGTCAGATGTGATTTTTGAGTGAAGTGTAAGTGTAAAGGTATACCATTTAGAAAATCTTTTGTGACAATGAATATCACCATATAATATTTTGTTATCCCATCGAACGAAGTTCGGAGGGATATAGGGAACGCCTCCGTCCGTCCGTCCGTCTGTCCGTCCGTCCGTCCGTCCGTCCGTCCGTCCGTCCGTACGTACGTACGTCCGTCCGTCTGTCCGTCCGGGCAATAACTCAAATACCGTTGGCCCGATTTTGTTCATATTTCATACACATATACCCTATGGGGGTAGAAGTTCTGCTCGAAAGCCGATTTTCAAAATGGCCGCTCATTCCAAAATGGCGGCCATTTTTGTGACGATTTTACAGTAATTTAGGTGCAATATGTAAAACTGTAATAGCAATATGTTTTAAATGTAAAAAAAATTATTAAGGACATTAATAATACTACAAATGTAGATATTAAAAAGCACATGGCAGCCATCTTGAAAAATGGCGGCCTTTACTCGTCATTTTACGATTTTTGCTGTAACTCTAAAAATAGTGGAGCGATTTTGTTCATATTTGGTGTGTGAATACTATAAGCATTGCACACTGTCTAAAGACACTTTTGGTAGAATGCGGCCATTTTGAAAAATGGCCGCCATTTTAACATATTTTACTATAACTCGAAAAGTAGTGGAGCGATTTTGTTCATATTTGGTATGTGAATACTATAAGCATGGCACACTGTCCTATGACACTTTTGGTAGAAGGCGGCCATTTTGAAAACAATTTTGAAAAATAGCCGCAATTTTAATGTATTTTACTATAACTCGAAAAGTAGTGGAGCGATTTTGTTCATATTTGGTATGTGAATACTATAAGCATGGAACACAATCTATTTCTAATGACGCTTTTGGTAGAAGGTGGCCATTTTGAAAAATGGCCGCCATTTTAACGTATTTTACTATTACTCGAAAAGTAGTGGAGCGATTTTGTTCATATTTGATATGTGAATACTTTAAGCATGGCACATTGTCTAATAAAACTTTGGGGAGTAGTCGGCCATTTTTGAAAAATCGCCACCATTTTTACGTGTGTTATTTTACAAGTATGTGTGCGATTTTTCAAAAATTTTTAGAGGTGGCTACTTAAAAGCATATTATTTCTTCTGATGACAACTTGGCTAGTGAGCAACCATTTTGAAAATGGTGGCTTTTCTAGTGTGTTGTTTTATGATATTTGCGCTTCGTTTGTAAAAATGCCAGCCATTTCTGTTCGATGGGATTCGCTACGCTTTGGAGTTGCCGTTGTTCTGGTTAAATCTTGCGATGGGTTTAATATTAGAAAATTTAGAATGTCGTAAACCTATTTAATCTGTGTAAACTTATAATTATCCCAACGAACGAAGTTCGTTAGGGATATAGTGAAGCCCTCCGTCCGTCTGTCCGTCAGTCCTTCAGTCCGTCCGTCAGTCCTTCAGTCCGTCCGTCTGTCTGTCCGGAAGATAACTCAAATACTAGTTGACAGATTTTCTTCATATTTAGTGGAAAGATGTATATTGGTGAATAGTTTTACGCAAAAAAACATTTTTCAAGATGGCCGCCACTTTAAAAATGACGGGACTTTTTTGCAAAAATCATAAACTTTTCATTCTAAACCAAAGTAATTAATATTAATAGTGTACTCACAACATTTATCTATTTCACATATATTCCGTGTTTTTCATCCTGACCCCCAGGGGCCATGACAGGAAAACAGAAATTTTCGCTAATTTTTAGATCTTTCTGAAGTATAGCTTTATTATACTCAAATGAAAGGCAATTAAGAGTAGATTGCAAATATTGTATCTTTTTTCTGATTCGAGCCTCATAAAATTCAAAATGGCCGTCTAATGTACGATTTCGCAATAATTTTTCGATCCCTTCAAAGTATGGCTATATTATACTCAAATTGAAGGAATTTTGGAGTAGATCACAATTATGGTATTATTTTTCAGATTTGTACCTCAGAAAATTCAAAATGGCTGCTTTGCAGGAATTCGCAATTATAAAATCTAATTTTTTCATTTTCAACCAAAGTAATGAGTATAATTGATTGAAATTCGGTAATTGATATTTTGTTCGTTGGGATTTGCTACTCCGCGGAGTTGCCGTTTTCTAGTTATTTACTTCATATATTTTGTTCAGTGGGAGATGTAAAACGACTGGAAGAGCTGGGATTCAGTAGGGAGGATGTTGGAAAAGCCTTGGATGTCTGTGTGGGAGTCACAAGTGATGCAGCTGTTTGGTTAACTGAGCATGCCACCCCTGTTCAAGTGCCAACCCCTAGCAATGAAGCCCCATTGGAGGAAAAGCAGGATGGAATACAGATATCAGGCATTGAGGTACAATATGTGTTGAGTAAAACTTGAGTATTTGGAACAACCTCACCACTGACCAAAATTGTTCCTTGTAGACAGGTCTCTCATACATAGATGTTTCCTTGACCAAAATTGTTCCTTGTAGACAGGTGTCTCATACATAGATGTTTCCTTAATGTTTTGAACAAGTTTCCATTTTGAGAGGTGTCTCATATATAGATGGTTCTCTAATCTTTTGAATATTTTCCATCCTGGGAGGTGTCTCATACATAGATGGTTTCTTTTGAAAACTGTTCCATATAGAGAGGTGTTTCTTACAAAGAGGTGTTCCATCATACAGATATTGGTGCACTTTTTCATGGAAAAATACTCTTTATAATCTCATAATTTAGAAATAAGTTGGTTTCAAAATTATTTTTACTTTGCTCATACCAACCCCATGCCTGGGGATGAGGGCAGAATTGCAATATATGGGTCCCATGCAACAATTAACATATGGTACTTATATATTTTGTTCCAGTTGAAGGCCAGTGGTGTGTCATTCTGTGTCATTGATGATTGTAAGGATGCAGATGTGCCCCTTCTTGAGCTGGCGTTTACAAGTAAGGACATTATTTCTTTGGGACACAGTCCATATACATTTACCAGTGTATGTCCATGAGCTTAATGATGAATGGGAGAAGGGGTAAAAGTTGGCCAGAGCTTTTGGATCTCCTTTTTAAAACAGCTGCATTAAGAAAATGGGTCTGCATTATATAATATACATTATATAGAAGAATTATCTATAGTTGTATTGAATAGACACAACTTACCATTTTTTGTGTATGTTTTCAGATATTTATATCCTGCAGAAGTTACATGGACTTTGGGAGGGCAAGGCAAACATCAAGCTATCGGGAGATTATTATAATCGAAGTCTGTCTGGCTGGGAGCCTTTCATTGAAACATGGGGGTAAGTATGCTATGTTTAGAATTAGATTTAAATGATGTTGTGTGCCAATTTAGGCCAACATTGGGCCTGGCAATATATGGAAAAGCCTCTATTGTAGACAGATCTCATCTTAGAACTTCTATGTAATGCCTGGGTCAGAATTGCTCCGATCCATCGGCAGGCGCCAGGCCGATTGAGTGTTTTGTTCAATATTGCATTCAATTTTGAACAAAATACTCAATCGGCCGGGTGCTGTGGTGAAAATTGGAGCAAATGTGACCAAGGCATTAGGAATGATATTCACCAGGAAAACACTTGTCACTGATGTATCAATTAAATGCCTGAGTTCTGCCAATAAAGGCCAGCATTTTTTGGCTTTGAAATGCATTTTATGTTGACATATAGCACATTAGAACTTCTCAGTGAAGTGGGAAACATTAGATTCATCAAAAAATAGAGAATAATTCCAATTTCTGTATTAATTTGATGTTTGAGTTTAACCAATAATGCTGAATGTTGTTTGAAATAGTAGTACAAGATAGCATATTTGAATGTCCTTTTTGCATCATCTCTTTTTACTGGCCCTCATCAGAAAAACATTATCTATTTATAGTTTTGAAAAAAGTAATATGATTACCAAACAATGAATTTAAAATTCATATAAATTACTTGTACAGATGCCAGTTTGACTGGCTTTACAAAGAAGACCTGAACATGGATAGTAAACTTGCCATCCGTGTGACGACCGCTGATGTGTTGAACCTCAACATAACCAGTAAGCTGATTGAACAGTATGGCATCACGAAAAAAATGTGGAGCGAGGATTACTATGCTTCCCAGAACACGTAAGTTGGAATATACAGTAAAACCTGCATACAGTGAACACCTATGGAGCCACAAAAGTATGTTCACTTAGTATTTAGGTGTTTGTTACAGATAGGGTGATTTATATAGAAGTCAGTAGTTTATGTGGAAGGAACTTGGGAAGGGTGTTCACTAGAGACAGGTGTTCACTACATACTGGTGTTCACTACAGACAGGTGTTCACTACAGACAGGTGTTCACTATGAACGGATTAATAGGTGGCACTAGTGGTTTTTGATTCGCTAGAACACCATAAGGTGATATTAAGAAAAAATCTAATATCTTATTGTAATATCTTAATTCATCAAATATGGGTGAATTCTAAGTTCATGATTTAATATATCATCAAATATAAGAAAATTTCCTTTATGGTTAAACAAGTAAATCTCAGAAAAATGAGGTCTTGGTAAGAATCTTTAAGTTATATTGCAAAGAATTGATGGAGGGAAGCAGATTAAAAGCTAGATAAATTATTAGTGAAATTTCAAAACAAACTAACGAGAATGAAAATTACTTAGAAAAAGAATAAATTAAGGACCTTGTCAATGTTTATTGTATGAATGCAAATCTGACTACAAAAACATTAAAACAAATCATTTATTTCTTTTGGTATTGCAGGTCCAGTGACGGTACCCTAGCAGGCTATAGACGTCGTGTCCCATTTGTTCCCTTCGCTTTACGGAATCACACAGGATGCAAATTGTGGTTTGCTACAGTCACTACAACACCTACAAGGTATGTTCACTTGCAAACTAAATTGTCGCTATTAAATTAATATCAAGGTTTTGAATAGGTATATAGAGAAGCTGTCTATTTGTCTGTTTGTATATTTGTTCATATGTCTTAAGCAATAACTCATAAACCAGTTGTCAGATTTTTCAAATATTTATGTGGTGAATCTTAATTAACAGTTAACCCAAAGGATACATCATAATGGAACCAGCTAGAAACCCCATTAATGTACTCTATTAATGTCCATTTTGCAATTTAAATGCAATTGTAGTGTATTATTTTATGTTCTTTAGGCTTGCATTTTGCCCAGGAATGCATGTAGATGATAGCACAAGAGAGATTGGAGAATGGAGGCAGATTGTGTCTGGAGATGAACTGCCATTCAAATAGAACTGTAATGTTTATATTATGTTCTTTAGGCTTGCATTTGGCCCAGGAATGCATGTAGATGATAGCACAAGAGAGATTGGAGAATGGAGACAGATTATGCCTGGAGATGAGCTCCCATTTAAATGCAATTGTAGTATATTATATTATGTTCTTTAGGCTTGCATTTGGCCCAGGAATGCATGTAGATGATAGCACAAGAGAGATTGGAGAATGGAGACAGATTATGCCTGGAGATGAGCTCCCATTCCTAATGGAAGAAAAAGATAAACTAAGGCATAAGGTTAGACAAGATCTCAAGATATTTCAACAATTTTCAAAACAGGGTATTTCCATGTTTGAAAGTTTTGAGAACTTTTAGCTTTCCTTGAGAACCACTGCCACCACTGGTTTATTATCAAAATAGCCACCACTGGTTTATTATCAAAATAGCCACCACTGGTGTATTATAAAAATAGCCACCACTGGTTTATTATCAAAATAGCCACCACTGGTTTATTATCAAAATAGCCACCACGTGTTTATTATCAAAATAGCCACCACTGGTTTATTATCAAAATAGCCACCACTGGTTTATTATCAAAATAGCCACCACTGGATTATTATCAAAATAGCCACCACTGGTTTATTATCAAAATAACCACCACTGGTTTAATATCAAAATAGCCACCACTGGTTTATTATCAAAATAGCCACCACTGGTTTATTATCAAAATAGCCACCACGGGTTTATTATCAAAATAGCCACCACTGGTTTATTATCGAAATAGCCACCACTGGTTTATTATCAAAATAGCCACCACTGGATTATTATCAAAATAGCCACCACTGGTTTATTATCAAAATAGCCACCACTGGTTTATTATCAAAATAGCCAACACTGGTTCGCATTATCTAGATTTCTCCTATGTTAGCTTAATTGGGTTAGTCCATAAAGGAGTGTAGTTAATTGAATCAAAGGACTATCTGTCACTTAACCATTCTAAATTAATATACATGTAGATGATTCATTAGGCTGAATTAAAAAGGACAACAGCAAATGGACCTTTTTGAGGTTCCAATTACCAAAAATGATCAATGAATCTCTTAAACTCCATTCCTTAATGCCTTGGTCACATTTGCTCCGATCCATCGGCCGGCGCCCGCACGATTGAGTGTTTTGTTCAATATTATGTTCAATTTTGAACAAAATACTTAATCGGCCGGGTGCCGTAGAGAAAATCAGAGCAAATGTGACCAAGGCATTACACTATAGGTCATAGACTCAAATTTGAAAATGTATTTGAATTTGATTTCAGCACACACATGAGTTGAAGATCCATCAGGTGGTTGTCAAGGTTGAAGGTTGGCAGAAGGTCATTCCCATCTCTGTAGACAAAGTAGGAGTGTTCTTCCGTGAAGCCAGACCTGAGATTAATGAAGCATCTAGCCTGGTAAGAATAATTTTGCCCATATTTAGTATTTGTAAAGTCAACATCCATCCATCCATCCATATTGAGGAGTGGCCAGGATCAAAAATTAAATTAGGCGAAAATTAGCACGTTTAGGCTAGAAGAGGTACTTTATGACCTTTAGAGTTCATATCCTACGGTTCATTTGAAAAACACATCTATCTATGAATATACGTCAGAAAATTGTTTTAAGTTTGAAACTCAGACTCACTAAGTTTGTAGAACGATGGCAGTTGTGGTTCATCTTTTCTGTTTATAAGATAAATAAGTGCCATCTTTCTGTGGATGTAGTGTGCATAACCATAACAATGCTATTATATTGCAGTTTTCTGACCAACCCCCAGCTCGTATAGTGTTTGCTGTGAGTCTAGAGGGAAGCGCACGCAAAGTAATCACCGTGAGATAATGTAACCATACTATTATATTTCAGTTTTCTGACCAACCTCCTGCACGTATTGTGTTTGCTGTAAGTCTAGAGGGAAGCGCACGCAAAGTCATCACAGTGAGATCATATAACCATGCTATTATATTTCAGTTTTCTGACCAACCCCCAGCACGTATTGTGTTTGCTGTAAGTCTAGAGGGAAGCGCACTCAAAGTCATCACAGTGAGATCATATAACAATGCTATTATATTGCAGTTTTCTGACCAACCCCCAGCACGTATTGTGTTTGCTGTAAGTCTAGAGGGAAGCGCACTCAAAGTCATCACAGTGAGATCATATAACAATGCTATTATATTGCAGTTTTCTGACCAACCTCCTGCACGTATTGTGTTTGCTGTAAGTCTAGAGGGAAGCGCACGCAAAGTCATCACAGTGAGATCATATAACCATGCTATTATATTTCAGTTTTCTGACCAACCCCCAGCACGTATTGTGTTTGCTGTAAGTCTAGAGGGAAGCGCACTCAAAGTCATCACAGTGAGATCATATAACAATGCTATTATATTGCAGTTTTCTGACCAACCCCCAGCACGTATCGTGTTTGCTGTAAGTCTAGAGGGAAGTGCACGCAAAGTCATCACCGTGAGATCATATAACCATGCTATTATATTTCAGTTTTCTGACCAACCCCCAGCACGTATTGTGTTTGCTGTAAGTCTAGAGGGAAGTGCACGCAAAGTCATCACCGTGAGATCAGCTTTAATGCTAGTGAATAACTTAGAAGAGAAAGTTGCTATTAAACTGGATGATCCAAATAAACAAGGTGAATAAATGTTCTGTAACTTTTGAATTTTTTTTTTTATTAATTCCACACTTTCAGGAAAAAGAACAAAGTAGAAAAGGGAAGTATGATCTCAAATATTTTGATCTTGCACATTACCAGAACATGTAAAATACTGCCAATATTATTCATCTTGTATCATAAATCACATATTTTCATAATTAGAATCTTGTAAACTATAAAAAGTCTAATCATGAGTATCTACATGTACGTTCTTGAAATGAAAAATTAGTATTGTTTAGTCCAGTGATTGTATTATCACTACTATTATGAGACTAGTTGGTAATGTAGTAATCAAACAAAAGTTAAAAAATAAAACAACAGTTTTACACTTAGTGTTGATCATCCTCCTAAGCAGGTTTCCAGAATCTGTACTTCCTTCTTCCCCCTGCTATAACCAATTTGGAAGCGCCTTATTAAACTGAATCACGTGATCTAATTATGCGTAATGAGTTATACATGATTTCTGTCGCAGTGTTGCGACAGCCAATCAGATTGCGAGTTCTTAATCGGGGAAATACTAATTGCTTATCGCAGGGGGTAAAAAGAAAGAATATATTCTGGATTTTGAAGCCCTGTGATCGGAGGATGAGTGTTGAAGTATAGAAGTAACATTTTACATTGATGTTTGGAATTGACAAACAACAGTATATCATTTCTTCATTAGGTTCAAGCAACACCATATCCCTAGATGCTAAATCAAGTATTCCAATTCCTCTACCATGCGTCTGGTCAAGAATCTGGGTACGTCCTATTGGCTGTTGGTCTGTTGATTACTGCAACCGACCAATCAGCTGGCAGCATATCCTTAAGCCCGGAGATGTGTATGATGGGATCAGGACATGTGATACTAGAGCAGCCGAAGACGGATCTTATAGGTGGGTCAAAAGTTTCTTTTATTTTCATTATTGCACTTCTAGAAAGATTACTAAGATGATTATATGCACAAATAGATTTTTAGGTTAATACATTATGATGTTCTATTTTGTTTGATTTCTCAGCTAAACTTGGATGTCTCTACAGTAAAACTTATCTATCTAAAATAAATGCCGATGGGTTTACTCACATGTTTGTGTTAAAAAATATTTTCCCAAATAAATGTTCATTAATTGGGGACTTGGATAACAAAAATCCAAAATGTAAGAAAATCAAACAGAAAGTGTTTATATACACTAGCGGATCTAAGGGGTAGTGCTGGGGGCTCGCCCCATCTAAAAATTTTCAAAGAAATTAATATTTTTTCAAAAATCCAATAAAATACCTGTTATATAGTGTTAGAATTTCTCATAAAATTTATCCAGATGATATATCAAAAATTGTCTTCAATTAAAGGATGTGTTCTTCATGAAGTCATTGTAGGAAAATGCTCACATTAATATTGCCCCTAATTGCACTTTTTAAAATGGTGCACCCCCATAGTGTACGCCCGACACTCATTCTCACCCATTTCTTGATATATTAGTGCCCCCTCTAGTGCAAAATCCTGGATCCGCGTGTGATAGTATTAAAGCATTCATTTTAGATAGGTGTTTATATACTCAGGTTTTTCTGCACATGATCTGTATATTTTTTTTTCTTTGTATTGTACATGTTCTTGTTTCTCCTATTTTTGAAATGAAAATATGTAGCAACATTTTTATTTGATTAAATATGCACATTTTACATTCATTTATGCAAGATCTGATCTACCAATAATATAAATATAAATAACCAATTTTTAATTGATTGAGGGGTCAGGTCAAAGTTTAAAAAAGTAAAACCCATAAATAAAACATTGAAAATAGAACATATGATCAAAATCATTAAACTTTTACATCAATTAACTTTTTCAGAGATAATGGGTCCGTCTAATATTTTGCTTAATTACTTTGACCTGGTCCTGAAAATTCAATTTTTATTGATTAACAAATTGATCCCTAAAACCTGATTTTTAACTGTCTTACATTGATAGTCATCCAGAGCTGAGATGTAATAAAAGACATTGCAATGTCTGTAGGCAAGTTAGTGTGGGCTACTACAGGTGAATAACAGTGAACTTCTTGAAATTAATCTAGTGCTTTTATAGATGGTGCTAGTGCATAGGGCATTTCAGGGCCCAGTAACAAATGTGTACTACAGTTACATATGTTAAATGCATAGCAATTTCAAGGCCTTTTGCCTTTGATGAGCTATTTCTTATTACCAATGTTTGGTGCATGTGGAATTTCGAGGCCTTGGACAGAGTTTTGGCATAGGGAACCTTGAGGCTTTGTAAAATATTGAATTTCAGAAGTTTAAAATGTTTGGAATTCTTAGGCCTTCTGACAGAGGTTTAAAGCATAAAATATCGAATTTCAGAAGTTTAAAATGTTTGGAATTCTTAGGCCTTTTGACAGAGGTTTAAAGCATAGGCTTTGCATTTGATTCTAATATTGTGCTCAAAGTGTAGTGATTGCTTATAAATAACCTTTTTTCAAAAAAAATGCAGAAAAACAGAACATTTTTCAGTGTATCGATTTATTCCAGGATATACAGGGTGTCCAAATTCTTGTTACAATTACAATAAAAGTTTGTAAAGTGTAAAGAGACTTTATGGTCACCCTATATTGTAATAGTAGAAAATATCATCCATAGTTATAGTATACCCTTAGGAATTATATATACATATACAATATTGTTTGTCCTTTATTAGAAAAAGCATATCATCTCATGGACTATATCTCATTCATAGGGTTTATTTATCATCTCATGGACTATATATATAGGCATTATGTATATCGACTACTCATACACTTAAATATGTAAATAAAGTGATGGTGGTATTGTATTAGCAGTATGGAATGAAATTCTAGTACACAACCTTTAAACAGCTTTGTCAATGTATGCACTGGCATGTAGCGGCCCTGATATCGATAAATTCTACACGCAATATAACCCGATTTTAGATGCTTGGTTAAAACTTTACACGAAAAAGCCTCGATATCCGGGCATTTACTCTTACACTGAACTGAAAATAGCATCGTCTAAACGTGTATGTCTTGGCTTCCGGGTAAGTTTATCAACATTTATACTCAATTGAAAGAGCAGTCGTGCTCATATCGTGTACCAGTTTGATTGTTTTATATGTGTGTGTATTTATAATATGATAGTCTAGTTATACCGTGTCGTTAGAACAAGTGCTAGATATCGAACTGATGACCTGAAATTAGATTATTGGACTGATCGCGCATCTGATATTAGATGATTAATTTGCATTGAATCTGATATTAACTTGCAACCCAATACTACAGTAAATACCATGACTTTACATTAGAATGATAACACGGCCTCATATTCTAATTCATTATACGTCCATTGCAGGCCAAAAATGTTTCAATGGGGATATTGTAATGCTCACGAGAATACATTCGATTCGTATATATTGACACCCCAGTTGTCCGAAACCCAGTTGTCCGAAACCCAGTTGTCCGAAACCCAATTCCCCGAAACCCAGTTGTCCGAAACCCATTACTCCGAAAAATAAAGTCATAATTTACCAGAGAAAGGGGGGGGGCGTAGCTTACTTAAGCTTACGTCAGTTTCATGCCATGTATTTGGCCAAATTAATGGCATGGACGCATTCTGATATTCATAGATCGCTCTCTCTCTCACTTTGAATTGCATCCATTGTATGGCGTTACCAGAATGGCAGGAACGGGAGATTTATTTTACATTGTGATTCTAAAAAAGGTTATTAAAACACAATATATATTACGGAACAGTTTATCTTATCTTCTTCAATCTCTTTTATATAGGCAAAATAAAATGAAACATTTTGAAACAGATAAAATAAGGTATCGCATAGAACTTTAAGAATAAAACAGTATACAAATTACGTTGTCAAAATATTTCGTCGCATTTAATTTCTTAGTCTCAGTCTCTTATCAAATCGTAAAAGAATAAAACATTCTAAACTTAATCACTTGGGATTTATGTTTCGGCATTCGTTTCAGGCATTTGTTTTTTATGTTCTTCTCCTGAAATGTATTTGTTTGACAATAATCAGAGAAAGTGCGTATACGTATAAATATGCCACGCAAACAAACGGGTGTGACTTCAATTTCTTGTCTGTCTGAGGACGTATTGGGAACGAGGTAGAATTAAAGAATTCTTATGAACAAATGTATTGGCTAAGTTAATTTCTGATGGATCTGGATAAAATATATTTCAAAACTTTGTCAACACTAGATAACTTCATTTAGGCAGATATAGTATCTTGATATATTTGGCTATCATGAGTTTAAAATACGTTCCTAAAACTATGAAGACGTTGGGTGAGAAATATTGCTATTGTACGTTCGAAAAGTATTTGGTTGTATTTTGTAGTTCTCAAGTTAGATCTACCCATGAACTTTCGTGGGCTAATTAACGTCTTGACTTAGCATATTTAGCCTAATTTTGCAATGATGTCAACGTGATTCAAATGTTATGCTGTCGTGATTCGCAGAGGTTGCGACAAGATTCGTTTTAAGAAATTGTATTTTTTGATAAGATCCCCTAATTTTCGGAGAACTTGGTTTCAGACAACTGGGTTTCGGAGAATTGAGTTTCGGACAACTGGGTTTCGGACAACTGGATTGACCCCTATGAGGGTTGATCATACATCAATTGAACATGGAGATTTTCCTGTACACTTTTCCCAAACATGTGGAATAGACTAGATGCGAGTAGAAATTATCTTGATTTATCCTATGCCAAGTAGGGTTTTAGGGAGATAAGTTGGTAAGATATATCCCGTATCCTGATTTTGAGGTTTCCATATCAAGAACCTCCACATCTCCCGTCATATCTCCCGCTTCGGTGCATATCTTCCCGCTTCGGGGCGTATCTTCCCGCTTCCAAAAAGTGGAAATGCAATAAAATGACTTTGCATATGAATGATTTGTTTATTTTTTACACCTTGTACTACTGAAAACTCTACTTGGTATAGGATAAAGCAGTTATGTACGGTCGGTTTGGATATTGGGTTCATCCCTCGTGAGATATGCACATCTACTTTCTGTCCCTACGGTCCCTCAGGTAGATATGCATATCTCCCTCTGGAAAAACCCCGTATCCAAAACCTCCCAGTACATAACCCTTATTTATCCCATGGTTACAAGGATATAGATCGAATATCACGTGAAGATATAATTGATACGTGGATGAAGATATATTTTAGCAAACAATTCCCAAATCATCGAATATCACTTTTGAAACCATCGAATATCACTTTTTGAAAGGTGATATTCGATGGTTTCAAATTGATATTCGATGGTTTCAAAAGTGATATTCGATGGTTTTGATTTTTTCAATTTTTTTTATTAATTCAGCAAAACGATTGTTTATGAATACCTAGCAAGAGCTCAAAAAGTTCAATCATCTATTTATCTCAAAAAGACCTCAAAAATTGAGCTTGAATTAGAAATATGTCTTCTAAAATCTTCCTCGCCTGGACCTGATGGGATTCTACCATCACTTATTAAGTCTATAAGACAGTTTTTAATTGATCCGCTCTTGTATATATTTAACTTATCTTTTAAATCTGGTATTTTCCCAGACGCCCTCAAATTGGCCAAAGTAACACCTGTATTTAAAAAAGGAGTCACTACAAATCCTTCGAACTATAGACCAATTTCAGTTTTATCGGTATTTTCTAAATTGTTAGAAAAGCTCATGCACGCCAAACTCACTGGTTTTTTAGAACGTTTTGAAATTATTTTTACTTATCAATTTGGATTTCAGAAATTCAACTCTACCTACATGGCCATTTTATATTTCATTGAACAAATTCGAAAATCAACTGATTTGGGGAAAACGAGCATTGGCATAACATTAGATTTTTCCAAGGCCTTTGACACTATTAATCATGACATTTTGATACAAAAACTTGAATATTATGGCATCAGAGGAATAGCTAAGTCCTGGTTTGAAAGTTATTTAAAAGACCGCAAACAATATGTCACCATTAACAATTATGAATCTAAACAATCATCTCTAAATTGTGGTGTTCCGCAGGGCTCGGTGCTTGGACCACTATTATTTATTCTTTACATAAATGATCTGCCTTTTGTTGACCCTAATCTAAAATTTATTATGTTTGCTGATGACACCAATCTTCTTGATAGTGATTATGATTTAAATGAACTAATGCAAACTTGAATTCAATAGATGACTGGATAAAAGCAAACAAACTTTCACTTAATATTGGCAAAACCAATGCTATTCTATTTGGACCCCAAAAAATCAAACAAATCTGAATCTCAAAATACGCAATGAGAACATAAATTTCCGGGATAAAATTGACTTTCTTGGAATTATTATTGATAAAAACTTGAAATTTAAAGAGCACATAAAATCTATTGAAACAAAGATTTCTCGCGTCATTGGTTCTCTTTATCACATTAAACATCTACTTCAAATAGACAGTTTCAAAACAATTTACTACTCATTGATACACTCTCAATTAAATTATTGCAACATAATCTGGGGTAACACATTTAAATCATTTTATGATCGTCTACATAAACTGCAGAAACAATTCTTAAGGCTAGCTTTAAATAAGGATAGACTTTCTCACTCCGCTCCCTTATTTGAAGATCTTAACATATTAAATATTTTTGATGTCAACAGATATTGTACTGGTCAGTTCATGTACAAAATCTTTAATAAGCACCCCAGTCTTCCAAAAAATCTATTTCAAGACTTGTTTGATATCAACATTAATATTCATCATCATTACACAAGACAATTGCATTATTTTCATATCCCTAAATGCTCTAAACTTTCCCTTCGCTATCTAGGTCCTAATCTTTGGAATGCTCTACCACATGATATTAAAAAATGCTCCACTCTAAATATTTTCAAATCTTCATATAAAAAACTACTCATCTATCGATAATGTATAATACCAATATCATACTATACTGTTGATTTTATACTGATACCTGATTTTTGTAACATTTTTACATTGTACATCCTTAGATTAATTGTTAATACCATTTTTATATACCTACATGTAACATAATATAAGTGTTTTCTTTTATATGTAGTCTAGATGTCATTTAAATGATTTCTGTTAGGCCGCAACATATACCCACTAGGGTGTCTAGCGGCTTGTTTTTATAGTGTATATTATATAAGAAATATGAAATAAATTGAATTGAATTGAATTATATATTTATTATATATTTTTATTTTTTGGGATCTTGTTTTTACGGCGTTCGCATTAAATACAAACCACTCTGTTACGTCACGTATATGACGTTCGTTGAATTATCGCAATCAAAATGTCAGACGAAATGGAATTTCCATTGCAATTTATCTGACTATTCAATGTTCGCTGGATAATAATTCCCAATGGGATGAAACGGACAATCCTATAGTTTTTCAAAAATATCACTTATATCCACTCATGGATATCAGTATCTTCACTCATTCGCTGCGCTCACTCGCGAAGATATCAATATCCACTCATGGATATAAGTGATATTTTTTCAGAGCCATAGGATATTCCTATATTATTCCATAGTTAGCATGATATCCATAGGATAACATGTCAAAATAAAAACGGTATTTTTGAAATCAGTGGTAAAATATGATATTTTTGGCAAATTTTCACTTAACCATAGCATACGGTGTTTTAGCCATGACATGCGGCGCCGTATGCCATGGTTTATGGATTTTTGCTACTTTAGACTCAAAACGAGGCTAAGTGTCAATATCGCCGTATCGTTTGGAAAATTCGTTTTAGATCACTTAATTCCCGAAGATTCTGATGATGACTTTAACTATGGAATATAAAGAACATCCTATGATTTACTCGTGATATGATTTTAATCTCTCGCTACGCTCACTCGTGCAGATATCATATCCATTCGTGGATAAAAATCATATCACTCATAAATCATAGGATATCCTCTATTTAAGATGTGATATTCGATAGTTTAAAAGTGATATTCGATGGTTCGTAAATTGTTTGCTAAAATATGATATCTTGATCCACATATCAAATATATCATCATGTGATATTCGATTTATATCCTCCTTGCAACCATGGGATAAAGCTTTACGTCCCGCTCCAAGCGGGCAGATGTAGTATATCTGCCCGCTACGTCATAATCGCCGCTTGCATATTTGTTCATAATTTGTAACGTTCGCGGAATGACTGTAAACGGCAATGGAGAAAACACAGACAATCAGGGTCTGTTTGATAGTTAAAAAAGGGAGAGAGCATCCACTTTATCAATAAAAAATTCGAGAAAATAAATATGGGATTATTTGAGAGAACATGAAAATCCGCCCACGGCCAAGAAAACAAAACTGGACATGAATATTCTAAAATATTTCCACGATTTAACAATGTGAACCAGATGACCAAGATTGGTATGGGATAAACATATTATCCTATAGTCAGGATATTGGGATTATCCCTTGGCCATTATATAGGGGTTATGCAATTGGAGGTTTTGGATACAGGGAATATCCCGAGAGATATACAATATTTCTTCCCGAGGGACCAAGGGAAGACATATTATGTATCCCTCGGGATATTCCCTGTATCCAAAACCTCCAAGTGCATAACTGTTGTATATAGTTTAGCATGATATGTACTTCTTTCTGTAACTGGAATACGATTCTAATATACAAGCAGCACATACGTATTCCCGGGGAACCATAAATATTTTGTGTAGTGTGTGGACATTTTTCTTTTCATTTCTCTAAAATCAGATTATTCTCATAAAATTCATACAAAGTTGGGCCTAAGCCTCTATTTTCGTATTCTGCATGTTAAGATATTTATAATGTAAAACCTAAGAGATAAATTCAATGTCTTCAGTTGAGAATAAGTATAAGGTAAATGTGTGAATTCTGCTTGTTGTTGCACTATTTTTATAATAAACAAGGTTCGATACGCAACACTGAATAGACTGCAGTCATAGCTTAGTTGTAAAGAAAACAAAAGAAGTTGGGACGTGGTCATGCTTGAATACGATTTTAAATATATCGCCGTTTACATTTGTTGAAATCGGCCTGTATTAATTTCAACAGGTGATCGGTGTACAAGGGCATATATTTGAGTTATTGGTTTAACGATAAGTATGACCTATGAGTGGGTAACGTTTTACAAATGCATGAAACAAATACTCCAATGGCCTAATCTCAATTTTCCTGCATAAACTATTACATTGAAATGATGGTCATTTGCTCTCTAACTTCCGCACCGCATACGTAACTTCGTAACAATTCAATAAGCCAAGACAGGACCGCTATAATCGCTACATGCCAGTGTGTATGGAAAATATTGGCTTTTAGGGATTGATCAGACTTATATATCAAGCTTGTATTGTAACTAATGAATATGGCATTTACTAAACAGGGTGTCCCAATAGTATGTTTACAGTTATTCAACAATTTCTTTCTGTAAACTGTAAACCCAGAGTTTGGGCCACTCTGTATGAGTATACTATATAAGTGGTAATTTTGCCTAATCATTTAATTTTCCTATTTCCTAATTTTTGCCAGGTTCGGAAAATTAAATGTCGGAAATATTGTCTTTATAATGTTATCCAATGGGAAGTTTCTTGTCATTAGGAAAATTAAAATTTGGAAAATGATGATTAAATAAATGATTAAACTCGGATTAAATACCACTTATACTGTAGTTGAGAGCATTAGGCAAAATCAAAATCTAGTATTTTTGCATTGGTGATGAGGTCTTTTTGCAAGATTTCACTCTTTGTAAACTTACAGCATATGAAGAAGATATCTGTAATTTGATTGGTGGAAATGTAAAGTTATATAATTACTGTAAGAACCAATCAGATGACAGTGCGTTATAAGTTTACATATCAGGAAAAATCTAATATGAGAATGGTTCTATTTAATTTCTTTGCCTTCTATGCCTTCTATTTGATTGATGATTTCTGAGTCTTACATGTAGTGAGGTAAATAAAGTTAGCTTGCATGGGGGAAAAATTATAAATATTTGATGATAATTGATAACTAGGCTAACCAACAGAGACTCTGTTGTCTCCTAATTTGAAATTAGCAAAATAAAGCATATAATAATACAAATTATATTATAAAATTATGAACTTTAAACTAATATGAATGATAACAATTCAATACTAAATAAAAAATATTAACTTACCAGGGCTTGTATATCAAAGATTAAATTGTATTAAGTTGCTTTGCTCCCGAAAATTATTTTTAAGATTTTTTTTATTTCAGGACCTGTTAAAGTTGCATAATAGGAACCAAATTTAATTTTGTTTTGATTGATTTTAGATACAGAAAAATTCCCTGTCTGGGTTCTGCCAAGAAAGTCAACATACCCAAACAAATAATATCCATACGCATGTACAACAGAGACATACGACCATGTTTTAAATATACGCCCCCCCCCTCCCCTGATTAACTTGATTGATTTATCATTACTCATTTTAGATTCTGTGTATCTGTCCAGCGAGAAAATTTCCCGATTGACATTCTTCCGAAAAAGGCTACATCCTCAGGTAGCGTCCATATACAGCCGGGGCATACGATCACGCTAGAGTCACCAGTCCTTATTGTGAACCTTCTTCCTGTTGATATGACGTACTACCTCAAAAATACTGAGATTAGAGGCCGAGTTAAACCTGGCCAAGAGGCACATGTCTTTGCTGTAAGTAGTTCATGGATAATCAGTTTATTTCCTCACTGTCTAGACCGCTCAGTAGTGTTGTCGCGATTAATCGATACATCGCAATATACATCGCCAAAAGTGATTCTTGTGATGCATCGATGTCTGAAATAAAACATCAATGTTTTAAAAAGATTAATCTGCTAAAATCATCTTTTTTATCCCTTTTTCCCACCAATCTTTCCCGCAAAATTGCTGATTTATCGATGTACAATTATGGCACTTCAAAAAAAACACTTCTGTTCAGCATGTCATATGCAAAATTATGTCTCATATAAGCAGAACATTATGAAAGGAGAATCATACATATATGGTACTTGTACAGTGAAACCTGTATATCTGAACACCTCTCTAATCCAAACAATTCTCAATGTGACTAATCTTCCATTGACCTACATGTTAAAAAACTTGAAATTTGAACACCTGCTAATCTGAACACTTTTCAATGTGAACACCTTTTCTTGGTCTTAAATTTGTTATCTTCCATTGGCCTACATGTTAAAAAACTTGAAATTTGAACACCTGCTAATCTGAACACTTTTCAATGTGAACACCTTTTCTTGGTCTTAAATTTGTTATCTTCCATTGGCCTACATTTTAAAAAACTTGAAATTTGAACACCTGCTAATCTGAACACTTTCAGCTGGTCCCTTTATAAGGCATTCAGATTGGACAGGAGATACTCTATATCAATCTATTAAAATATTTGTTGTATTTTTTATTTTATTTTACAGGCTGATATAAGTCAAGCTCTTGAGTTAGGGATTTTGTTAGAAAATTTCCCACAATGCCGAGAACTTGTTGTTCCTCCGGGAACCACAGACTATCAAGTTAAACTCAGACTTTATGACACACATAAACGACTTTTGGAATTATTTGTCAAAATAGCTGCTAGAAAAGGCGGGTCTTTACGATTATCAATCAGTGCCCCCTATTGGTTGGTGAACAGATCAGGGCTTCCATTGATTTTCCGACAAGAGGGAACGAAAGTAGAAAGTGCCGGACAATTTGAAGAGCATGAACTCGCGAGGAGTGTGACCCCATTGTTGTTTAGCTTTTATGATAAGGACTCGCCTTTTTTGGCGTCAATGAGACTTGGAAAATCTGTGCATGGACACGGAGGAATGCCAAAGTGGTCCCAGAGATTTACATTAGAAAGTGGAATAGGACGACGACAATTACACGTTGTGCCTACAACATCACGCCCTGATTGGGTCTACAATATTGGTATCGACATCCGACAAGGAAAAGGACGCTACATGGATACAAATATCGTCACATTTGCTCCATTGTTTCAATTAGACAACCGATCGAACTCAAAGTTAGTTTTCGCCCAGAAACACCAAGTGAAAGGCATGGGACACGATAATCAAAGTAACTTCCTGTCCGCACCTCAGCGATCACATCTTGCTTTTCATTGGCCGAGAGTTGACCTTGACCCTTTGTTGTGTGTTCGTCAACAGTCTAAGCCAAGCTGTAGATGGTCAGGGGGATTCCGGATAGACAAGGTTGATTCTTTCCATGTAAATATGAGGTATGTATGAAATTAAGAAATTGATAAAAGGTTGAATATTAGATAGCAAAGTAATTATAGCAATTAAAGAGAGAATCAGATCTAGCAAGCAGCCTAACAAAAAATTGTATAAATTTTCGAATATTTCTGGCTTATGTCATTCCTTTTCATGTCTATTTGCTAAAAATCCCCAAAGTGCACACTTTATTTCAGGAATACTAAAGATTTCTACAATAATGTATTATTTTGGGAGAATTCAAACATTTTTCACCCATTTTTGCACTTTGAATCCATTAAAACTTCATCAATTTTTAACACATCATGAATCTTAGATATTGTATTTGAGATTGTAAAGAATAGATTGGTAGGTGAATTGTACATGTTGCTTGTAATTTTGCCCACTTTAAGGAATGATAATGATGATAATCATTTCTATTTCAGGGGAGAGCACAATGTTTGTACGTTTCTGCGAGTTGATATAGTGCTGCATGGCGCCACCTTTTTTGTTGTGTTCACTGACGCTGATCAGATGCCTCCACCAATCAGAATAGATAACTTCTCACAGGTACTAAGTTTTAGTTAATGAAATCCTGTGCTAAGGGCTAATGTGAAAAAGTCAGTCCACCCCAGTGGGGATCGAACCCACAACCCCTCGCTTGCCGGGGGATTGCTCTAACCACTGAGCTATAGGACCCACTGGCTTTTCCACACCAGCATTGCAGCCATGCCTTACATGCCCAGTTCCCTGGACCTAATAAAGTTACCTGTCTTTCCAGGTTGTCAGTCATCAATTTATCTGTCAATCATTCCATCAATAATTTTCAGACAAATGCAAAGTACCATTCGGTTGAAAAAATATTCTCACATCTATATATTGTGTTTCATACTAGTAGTTTCCACCTGCTTTTATTTTTGCCTCTTTTTGGAGAATCGGCTTTATGTCATAATTTTTTTATCATGTGAGACTACCAAAAGGTTGTATTTTTAGTATTTGATTTGAATAATTTGTAATTGACAAATCATCCGACTTTAATGTCATTTACAGTATTGCTACAGAGATATGCAAAATTGCAAAAATTAAACAGATACACCTTCAACTTCTGTGTCCTAAGTATTGAAATGTAATATCTGTTTTAAAGGTTGCAATCACATACTACCAGACAAATATTGGAGAGGATACTCTGAGAACTATGATCAAACCAATGTCATCAGGTGAGTCAAGATTTCTTATTCAACCCTTTACCCCCATCTCCCTAAGCAGGTGTCCAGAATCTCTATCTCCTTCTTTCCTCCTGCTATAACCAATTTGGAAGCGCCTGATAAAACGGAATCAAGTGATCTAATCATGCGCCGATGATGTGTACATGATTGCTAGCGAATCAAATTGCGAGTTCGTAATCGGGGAAACGGTAACTGCTTATTGCAGGGCGTAAAATGAAAGAAGCATTCTGGATTTTGAAGCCCTTTGATCGGAGGATGCTTAACCCCATTGTCTTGTATAACATCTACAAGAGGTAAATTATTGAAGGCAAGAGACCCAATGCAAACCCATCCATTAAATGACAGTGTTTAGGTACTGAAAGGTTAAATATATACAGAGTGTGAATTTTTATCTTTTAACGTTAACTCAAGAAATATAAAAATAGCTAGTACATTAAGTTTACACTGGCGGATCCAGAAACTAACAAGGGGGAAAAAGTTTTGGGCCCCTAAAACTAAGAAGTGGACCCAAATTTTGAGAATTTAAGGTACATTTTTGATAATTTAGCCGGTAACTGGTCAACTCGTACCCAAGACAACTCGTACCCAAGTCAAGTCATACCCAAGACAACTCGTACCCAAGACAACTCGTACCCAAGACAACTCGTACCCAAGTATATTTTTTGTTTTGAATCAAGTGTTGGGCTGGGAATGGGTATAGATATACATATTATAACGGTTACATACAGTTCAGAATAGTTTGAAGTATGTAGAAGAGTTTTTGGAAGAAATTGATTGAAATTTGTGCCCAAATATATTGGTCACAGATTCAGATGTTCGAGGGAAGAGATTTATGTTTATTCCACATATTCATAATCATTGTTCACAATATTAGTGGTATTTTTGTATGTTAATGAGTGTTTGGAACAAGTATCAGATCTAATTCATCTTGAAATATGGTATTATCAAAAATATAAAGATTTTCAAAACTTGCGCCTATTTCTTATTAAACAGATAATCTATTTAGGATTTCATATTATCAGATTAAAGAATGATAATTCTAAGAAGTCACCTTCATAAAATTAAGCAATAAAAAATATTCTAAATAATATGAATATCAAATATTATTTTGATACTTATTCATACATGATATAATACACTTTGCATGCATGTGTTCAAATATAATCCAATTAAGTTCAAAATGGAAAAGAAATTAACAGATTAAAGTTCCCTTATTAATTTCCTCTGAATGCATAAGCTAAATTAATTGTTTGATTCATTTGTTGAAAAGTTACTGTTTTAATTATATTCATTTATATATATGTATTACAAAAAAAGATGAGAACAAGCCCTTCAAAGCACTTCAAAGGTAATCCAAGTTAAAACAAAATGCTTTGCTTAATCCATTAAGAAAAAATGTCTTCTAAATTCAGAAAAAATATTGAGGCACATTATAACATTAAACATTTTGACACAGATTCAATTTGTTTTCTTATATGCACCCATAATACAGAAAATAAATGTGGGTACGAGTTGTCTTGGGTACCAGTTGACTTGGGTACGAGTTGTCTTGGGTACAAGTTGTCTTGGGTACGAATTGTCTTGGGTACGAGTTGACTAGGAAGCATTTAGCCTAATAAAGGCCCAAGAAGGCCAAATTATGCCCAAAAGGCCTTGGATCCGCCAGTGATTGAATCAGATATTGAAAATTTTATCCTGATCACTATATTTTAAAGAATTAAAATGTTAGAAATATATGTTACACATAATAGAATAATAACAACATCTATTTTATTTATCAGTGCCATACTACTGGGATGACCCCCTGCTGCAGCCCCACATCACGCTTAATGTGCAGGGAGGCACTGGCGCCACCTATAACTTAACATCACTCCGAGAAGGCGAGACGTTGCAGTATGAGAACCTCATATATATAGCTTTCATACAGACACATAGGTAGTATTATTTGCTATAACAATTTTCAGTTTACCTGTAGTTCAGTATCCCAATGAGAGTTGAAGGATATAGGTTTTATCCAACTTACTCAAGTGGGGATATGGAAATCGACGTGGTGAAGTCAAAATATTTCTTGAAAGGCTAATAATCATAGTCTTTTCCCTGTGATTACTTGTACTTTTGGAGGGTTTAATTTTCTTGCTCTTTTTGTAACACTTTTAGTATTTTCCCTTTGGCACATACTTTATGGTTTTAGTGAAAGCCATATCCTTCTTCAAAACTACCAGATACCTCTAAATATCAAATTTGTGAAAGTATAGATTCCATCCTCACCCATGTTAATTTATAACAAAAATCTATTATTGTATATTAATGCACCATCTCTGGTCTGCAATCCAGTTACGGGTGTCGATAAAGTCTGTTTACATGTTACACAGTCTTTGTATTATAATTGTAATGAGACTATTAATTAAATCTCATCTGTTTCCTAGATCTGGAGCTTCAGTGTCTAACGATGCCAGGGATTTGGTGTTAGATGTTGTCGATGGCAATGTAATCCTCAGAAAAAAGGTAAGTTAACACTGAATAGAAAATCTATGTTACCACTGAATAGAAAATCTATGTTACCACTGAATAGAAAATGTATGTTATCAGTGAATAGAAAATCTAAGTAACCACTGAATAGAAAATCTAAGTTATCACTGAATAGAAAATCTATGTTACCACTGAATAGAAAATCTAAGTTATCACTGAATAGAAAATCTATGCTACCACTAAATAGAATGACTTATCATCATACATTTTTTTATCTGATTGAAAGATTTTAATACAGTTTGAGTAGTTTGCCAGAAAATTTCCTATAAATATTTCATGGTACTAAAACAAAAATACAATTTGTTCAGGAACCAGGCAATAGATGTCAGCTCTGGCGTATGACAGCAGATGGTCTGCTTTTCCATGAAGGTTCCTCACCCCCCAGAGATCCACGTAGAGCCTCACTTTCAAACCATGATGCAAAATACGTCCTTGATATGTCAACCCTAGGAATTCAGCCGACAAGTTACGTCCCTCTAACTTTGAAAAAATCTGACGCAAGACGACAAACAATGCAGCGATGGCAATTTGATGTAAGTAAGAATATGGGACGTGCTTTGAAGTACAAATGTAATATATATATATGTCACCTGAGCCGGCGGTTCATATATACTTTGATCAAATGCAGCACATGTACATTCGCTAATTTTTAGATTATGTATATGAAATACACTGGGTGAAGTGACCAAATATAAACAATTTTAATCACAAATAATCAGTGAATAAATGATTATTATCTGGTTAAAACCTATTATCAAGACTATTATTGCTGATTATCGCTTATTATCGAGACTTATTAATCAACAATAACCAGTGTTTTCACTGGTTATTACAATAATCAATTCTTATTAATGTGTAGCCAATGGCAAAAATTCCAACTGATTATTATGTCAAGTGATTATTCACCCAACTGATTATCGCTTTGTTTTCATTAGCAATTAAGAACCGTCTGCCATTTATGCGTCTAGCGCTTCCAATTATTATCCTTTGAATAAACAAACTATAGCCTTTGTCTAGCTAAAGAATATGAATTTTTGCGAAATTGAATTTTTTATTCAAACATCATTTTTTAATTCATTATCAACCAAACAAAAAATAAAAGAAACACATTTCATTTCATTTAATGTTAGATTTTATTTAGCTGTCCAACTTCAATTACCATGATTCGAGATTTTTCATTAGCAATTATCATGCAGCAGATTTCTGCAATTTAATCAATAGTTTATACTAATTAGTAGTAATTAAAGAATATCACCAAGAAAATATTTTATCATCGTGTAGAAAGTCCAATCTAAAATCTGGTAAATGTGTCACATTTATTGAAGCAATAACGTTGTGATACCACTGTAAAACTATAATTAAAATGTTTGATATGAAATTCGATTGTCGGGAATAAGAAATACACATCAATACTTTTTCATAATATCCAGTGTATTGAAATAAGATGTTATAACAAAGGCAATTGAAAAACTTCAATCTCAGTGAAACTAGTAGAGAAACTCCCTAAATCTGTTAAAGGGAAGCCTTCATTCAAGCACTGAACTTTAAGTTTAAGAGGAAGAATTCAGTATCCCGTGTGTTCACTACCCCCTCCCATCCCCAATTATTTAACTATGCTCCAATGTGTTTCATTTCTGTGTTTAATAAGTGCAATCAATATGATAGTTCTATATTACTCATTATTACCGTAGAGCAAATGTGCGCAAGGTTAAATTTTAATCTTATTGAATTATGTTAATTAGTTGCTTGGATGGTAGATTGTTTGTTTGCTTGTTTATTAGCACGATTGATTGCTTGATTGGCCGTTTACTTGCTAACATTCTTTCTTTGTTGCTTTGCTGCTTCCTTGGTTTCTTGCATTAGAGTTTAATTAGCTACTTGCTTGGTTGGTTTGTCGGTTGTTCGCTTGCTTTATATGTAAGTGGCATGGTTTGCTTTTTTACTTGTTTAGTTTCCTGCTTGCTTGGATGGTCGTTTGCTTGGTTGCTTGGTTGGTTACTTGCGTGGTTGGTTGCTGAGTTATTTATTTGAAACTTTCTAAATATCCATAGGCGTAGCCAAGGAGGAGGGGGGGGGTTGCGAAAACCAATAAAGAGCTTTTAAATGCTTTTTATTATGTCCCCACCACATAGTGTGGGGCCATATTGTCGGCCTAGGCGCGTCCGTCCGTCCGTCTGTCTGTCTGTCTGTTTGTCTGTCTGTCCGTCCGTCCGTACGTCCGTACGTCCTAAACCGCTACAGATATCACCTTCAAATTTTCAGGGGTAACTAATGAGTACATACAGATGTGGATGAAAATTTTTTAACTCTATATCTACTTCCTGTCGGCCATTTTGAAGTCAAATGCTAAAATCCTTGTCTGCAAACTTAAAGAAAAACAGCTTCACAGTTGCTTTTAAAACGTTAATATCTTGTTCAGCTCACTTCATTCTACATCTGATTAGGTTTTGGACCTGTTAGCTCAGTCATGTCAGCCATTTTGAATATCTTAAGAAAAGTTAGCGCGCGATAATACTTTGTGTCATATTGAATGGTGTTTTTGAGTTTTCATACTTTAAATATTTTGTAGCTTTATAAATAATTTCAGGTGTACTTTGTTGTAAAAGCCTATGTTATTGTTAACAGTGGTTATATGTGACAATTTTGTAAAAGGAAATCAGCAAAAACTCATAATCACTTTTTTGTTGTCGGCCATTTTGGATTTTTCTGTCCTCAAATCTTATCTGTAAAGTCTTGTCTGCGCGTTTTCAGCTGAACCGTTTGGTAGATCAATTTCACATTTTCAGGGATGATTCTTAGTATGAAAATCTAGATCTGATTAGGTTTTTGGCGTTCTGGGTAAATGTCAAGGCAGCCATTTTGGATTTTCCATCCTAAAATCTTGTCTGTAAAGTCTTGTCTGCGCATTTTCAGCTGAACAGTTTGGTAGATCAATTTCACATTTTCAGGGATGATTCTTAGTATGAAAATCTAGATCTGATTAGTTTTTTGGCGTTCTGGGTAAATGTCAAGGCAGCCATTTTGGATTTTCCGTCTTAAAATCTTGTCTGTAAAGTCTTGTCTGCGCGTTTTCAGCTGAACCGTTTGGTAGATCAATTTCACATTTTCAGGGATGATTCTTAGTATGAAAATCTAGATCTGATTAGGTTTTTGGCGTTCTGGGTAAATGTCAAGGCAGCCATTTTGGATTTTCCGTCCTAAAATCCTGTCTGTAAAGTCTTGTCTGCGCATTTTCAGCTGAACAGTTTGGTAGATCAATTTCACATTTTCAGGGATGATTCTTAGTATGAAAATCTAGATCTGATTAGTTTTTTGGCATTCTAGATAAATGTCAAGGCAGCCATTTTGGATTTTCCGTCCTAAAATCTTGTCTGTAAAGTCTTGTCTGCGCGTTTTCAGCTGAACTGTTTGGTCGATCAATTTCAAATTTTCAGGGATGATTTTTAGTATGAAAATCTAGATCTGATTAGTTTTTTGGTGTTCTGAATATTCAGTCAAGGCAGCCATTTTGGATTTTCCGTCCTAAAATCTTGTCTGTAAAGTCTTGTCTTCGCGTTTTCAGCTGAACCGTTTGGTAGATCAATTTCACATTTTCAGGGATGATTCTTAGTATGAAAATCTAGATCTGATTAGGTTTTTGGCGTTCTGGGTAAATGTCAAGGCAGCCATTTTGGATTTTCTGTCCTAAAATCTTGTCTGTAAAGTCTTGTCTGCGCGTTTTCAGCTGAACCGTTTGGTAGATCAATTTCACATTTTCAGGGATGATTCTTAGTATGAAAATCTAGATCTGATTAGTTTTTTGGCGTTCTGCGTAAATGTCAAGGCAGCCATTTTGGATTTTCCGTCTTAAAATCTTGTCTGTAAAGTCTTGTCTGCGCATTTTCAGCTGAACTGTTTGGTCGATCAATTTCAAATTTTCAGGGATGATTCTTAGTATGAAAATCTAGATCTGATTAGTTTTTTGGCGTTCTGGATAAATGTCAAGGCAGCCATTTTGGATTTTCCGTCCTAAAATCTTGTCTATAATTTTTAGGTATGTTTTGTGGTATGAAATATAACACCTGATTGTTACATTTTTGGGAAGCTTGGTAGATTTTAAGGTTGCTGTCTTTAAAATCTTGTCTCTTCATTGGTGGGGACATGTTGTACACTTTTGTGTTCTTGTTTAAAGCTTCTAGCTCACTTTAGAAGGAACTTGCATCCAGTTTTTTTAAAATTCAATATAAAAATCATTTTTGGCTTGTTTATGTCATAATAGCACCCCCCTGTTTATGTCACAATCGCACCCCCCCCCCCCCCGACTGAAAAACGAAATATTTTTGGCAATCGCACTCCATCCTGACTGAAAGCTGGCTACGCCCCTGATATCTGTTATTGGCCCTCAATAAACTATATTTATATTGTGAGCATTTATGGGTTTTGATAACAATAATCTTTATACATGTATAATTAATCAAATTTCATATTGTATCATGTTGGCTAAATCGTTTCAAGTGAAGAATTAAGAACTGTAATCGGGGTTTGCTTAGTTTGAGTCAGGGAACAAAATGTAATCAGACGGACGGATTAATTAATATTTGTTTTGATAAATGAGTATTATAGGTTATAGGCAGTATCATGGGAACCAAGTAATCGTGTATAGGATTATTTTTTGTTTACTTCAGAATTGAGTGAACCATCTGTAGTTTTAAAAACAAGGATCAATAAATACATCTAATCAAGATCAAATATTAGAAATCTATTTTTGACTGGACAAATTCTTGTTCTCGAATGCCAAACAGAACCTTCATTATCTTTATTCATTTTGAACTTTGATTTGAATTATTTCAACCAAACGTGTGTTGATGCTCCTAGCTAATACTATTAATTGACAAAATGTTGCAATAGGGGGGGGGGGCATTATTGTCTTTATTACATTACGTTTTGTACATTATTATATACACAGTAAACGCGCGACCTGATCGGGGAGGGGATTCGGGTTGTGCACAGTGCACAATTTGTTATCTCTTTATGCATGTTTCATTGCCAAATTAATATAAAAACAAGCTGGAGAAACATAAGTATTTATTTTGTATTTTGTTACCACACGTCAAAAGGTGCATTTGAAGTTCAGAAAATGTAAGAAGACTTGGCTAGACATTATGTACTTATATATTTATATGTTACGTATTTATTTTGTATTCAATTCGAATTCTGTTCATTCGCACTCCTTGAACCACCCCACCCCTTGGCTATGGGTATAATTACTTTCGGCACACGGAGAGAATAACATTAGACTTCTGCAATGCAACTACATGTAATAAGAGAGACCTAAAATGAAAATAATGTAATGTAAAAATATACAATTGTAGTCCATCACAAAGTTCATTTATTTCATAAAAGCGTCAAGGGACAATGCCTCTAAACACTAAGATAAACAAATTAACTTCCGTAGAAACATCCTGTAGTGGAAAAAACAAATGGCTTTTCATAACGGATTAGAATAGCCAATCTGTCTAATTGTATAATAAATTAGATACATTTTAAATTCCTTTATACTTCTTATCACAGACAGGTTGATCATTTTATTTAGACAAGAGATTGTATTCCAGCAGTGTCACTTGTAATTAGCCCTTTGAAGTTTAATCAGTCACGATAATCAGTTGGTGGGTTATTCAGTAAAGAAAAAAGTGATTATCGGAAGGCCATGCCTGTTGCCAGTGTATCTAGCCTTTAAAAGTTATAATTAGGTCAGGATCAGACTGTGTCTGGTTATTAATGGTTATTCTAAAAAATTAATCGCTGATTATTATGTGTTAATTCCAACCTGTTTGTCTAGTGATATCATTTCAGTATTAATGAAATGTCCCTTGGTGTTGCAGTCTGATTGTGATAGTGGTACTTAAATGGGGGAGGGGGATATTAGACATTGTTTCCTTTCATGTTAGATTATGATTTGGGATAGTTAGGGTTGGGTTTGATGTCATCTTTGATGTTTTCTTTTTCTTGCTGTGTTATTTTAAACAACATAAGTCCTTTCCCTTTGGCACAGTGCATTATACTTGGTAAAGTCAAAAAGGTTGAGTAATAATGTACATGTACAGGGGTCTCATTACAATTCCTCTCAACAGGCTAAATAAATGAAAACAACAGGCAAAATTAATGAAAATCATAAATTTAACATGGAAAAATTGAAAAGTTCCTAAAAACAACAGGTGATTTTGTGAAAACAATTGGTTAAAATTGCCTGTTGCCTGCTGCTAATGAAATCCCTGCATGTATATGGTATGCATTACTGTAATGCGCTATGATTTACAATTAAAGACACATTCAATTTATTTTTCCAGGAGAAAAGAGGCCTTTTATTTACTAAGACAGGACATTTGTGTGTTCAATGTGTGGATACCATGAGAGTGGGCGCCACTGTAGTAGTCGGCCCAATGTCTGGATCACTGACAGCGAAGGAGGTACCTACCCATATGAACGTGCTATTCCAGAAGCTTCGTCCTGGCTCTGGTTTCCTACCAGTCAGAGTACTTATGGATGGACCAACCAGAGTGCTTCAAATCACTGATGTCACACAGCAGGTAGTTACCTATAAACCCTTGAATGCTGTATATATAGGCCATGTTAAAAATTGCCTTAAAGTTCATGTTAAAAATTAGCTGTAGTTTTGTTTTCTTTTGATTATTGTTTCAGGATTTCAATTTTTTGTTTGTTCATTCGGCGCCTTCAAATACACATGTAGTTTTATTGCTTCTAAACAGGACAGTACCCTGAACAAGGCAAAAAATGTAAATTGTTGATTCATAAAATTTGTTATACATTGCAGAAATTGAGTAGCAAGATCCCAACGTCACCCTCCATGCAGGATTGGATTATGGTTAACCAGCCAAACAAACCCAGCCATGAGGCCAATCCACAAGAAAAACAGTCAAACCTAGATGTAAGTATGTGTTTTTAAAACAACAGGATGGGGTGAAAAAAATGTTAACATTTTTTATCCACATAACTTTTTTTGAAAATGCAGATTTCAGTTGCAAAATGTATTCCTGTATATCCTGCGAAAATTTATTGAAAACCATGCATTTTTGAAAACATTATATCGAGATGAAAAAATATGTGCATTTTTTGGCCCACCCTGTATATAAAGATTCATATCAGAACATGGGCCATATTATTGGTGGTGACCAAAGCAAATTTAGAGTGCAGAAAGAAAATGAACATTAAGAGTATACATGTACATGACATCATCAATTCCTAGCATCCTATACTCCCCCAAAATGCAATCTACATGTAATTTCAACACCGTTTCGATGCCAAATTTTGGTGCCGTAATGGCACCAAATGGACTGATTAGTCCAGTGCTAAATTTTGCTGTAGACAGGTTTCGGCGCTGGACCATTGCCGAAACGGTGCCGGAACAGCGCCGAATGTTTTCAATGCCGTAACAGCGCTGAATTATATTGGCTGTGTACTGAATTATAACGTCTAAATGCTTTAAATATTCAAAATTTTCTGAACTACTGTAGGTATCCATCCAGCTAGCAGGGGGTATTGGACTTTCCCTTGTGAACCATTTTGCAGAGGAACTCCTGTATATAAGCCTTCAACAGATCTATTTTGACTATTCTTCCAACTTCACTGGACAGATCTTCGATATTAGCATCAATAATGTACAGGTATGTCATAATGAATGTAGCTAAATATACAGGGAGTCCAAAAACAGGACCAAAGTTAATTTGCTTTGTCAATTTTGCATATTCTGCTTTGAAATTTCAGAATTATTTAGTTCATTTAATTTACTGAATAGAGTCAAAAGTAAGCTACAGTACCTTTCAAATAATTGCTCCAAGTGGACACCTCTATGTACAGTTGCATATAGAGAAGAGAGTTGGCAACTTGGAGCAACTTGTTTTGTAACAAAATTCAATAAAAATAATATGGTGTTTTCATATAGGTTGACAACCAGCTGTTTGGCAGTGTAAAGCCTGTTGCTTTATTTGTGACCCCCCGGTGCAAAGAAAGATGACACACCCATTGTATATTCTAAAGGAATATCTTATACTTTAGGTGGACAACCAACCAGCTGTTTGGCAGTGTGAAGCCTGTAGCTTTATTTGTGACCCCCAGTGTAAAGAAAGATGAGACACCCATTGTATTTTCTAAAGGAATATCTTATACTTTAGGTGGACAATCAGCTGTTTGGCAGTGTAAAGCCTGTAGCTTTATATGTGACCCCCAGTGCAAAGAAAGATGAGACACCCATTGTATTTTCTAAAGGAATATCTTATACTTTAGGTGGACAACCAATTGTTTGGCAGTGTAAAGCCTGTTGCTTTATTTGTGACCCCCAGTGCAAAGAAAGATGAGACAGGGACAGTGCCTGCTATAGCTATATCTGCTCATAAAATCCCCAACCAACAATGGAATGCAGATATATACAAGGTTAACCAGTACAACATATTATCCTACACTTAGTGTACTAAATGTATAATAATATTAAAAAATAAATTTGATATTTATTGGCAAAATGAATAACCGGAGGATATCGTGATGATATACTCCCGGCGGAGGATATTGTGACGATATATTCCGGAAAACCCAATATGCGGAGGATATTGTGACGATATACTCCGCTTGTTGATTTCCCGCGAAATTGACTCTATTTGGCATGAAATTCACTTTGCATTGATATTATACATTTAGTACACTCCTTGTAAGTGTAGGATAATAAGAACATGCTATGATCTTTTTTCAGAATATCATTTTAATCTAATTTATTTAAATTTAATTTAATCATTTTAATATCGGTGATATTGATATATGCACTCGTTCGCTTTGCTCTCTCGTGCAGATATCAATATCACCTCGTAGATAAAAATGATATTCCTCAAAATCATAGGATATCCTATAAATATTACAATACAATAGTACAATACAATATTCAATGAATTATGATAGTCTCACTTTTCATGCATTTTTAACATGATGTCTTAACATGTTTTTAACATGATGTCTTAACACGTTTTTAACATGATGTCTTAACATATTTTTAACATGATGTCTTAACATATTTTTAACATGATGTCTTAACATATTTTTAACATGATGTCTTAACATGTTTTAACATGATGTCTTAACTTGTTTTTGACATGATGTCTTAACATGTTTTTAACATGATGTCTTAGTATTGGACCCCCCAGGCAGACATATGATAATGTCTCATTTCATATGTGTCTTATATCATTTCAAAGCTTGTCCAAATTTACATTGATTTGTCAACTCACAAAGTATACCATTCTAAAACGAAAACAACAAAAAAACTACGATATTATTCTTTATTTCAGCATCTATATGTCTCAGTCAAGAAGATGACTCTACAGGTTGAAGAAAGATGTCTCTGGAAGTTGCTTCAATTTCTTGGCTATAAGCAGGCTGATCATCAACTTGAAAAACTAGATGAGGGCACATATGACTCTCAAAAGTGAGTTTTATTTCACCCTTGCAAAAATCATAACTTTATTGTTGCATATTGGAAATTATATTGTACATTTAAAATAATCAAAATACGAGTGCTTTTTTGCTGTGTTTATTGGATACTTTTTAATTTTCCACTTAGAATACTTTTTGGGATTTTCCACTTTGGCCAGTGATTTATATCTGTGTTTATTGAATACATTTTGGGATTTCTCTCTTTGGCCAGTGATTTATATCTGTTTATGGAATACGTTTTGGGATTTTCCACTTTGGCCAGTGATTTATTTCTGTGTTTATTGAATACTTTTTTGGAGATTTTCCACTTTGGCCAGTGATTTACATCTGTTTATTGAATATGTTTTGGGATTTCCCACTTTGGCCAGTGATTTATATCTGTGTTTATTGAATATTTTTGGGGATTTCCCACTTTGGCCAGTGATTTATATCTGTGTTTATTGAATATTTTTGGGGATTTCCCACTTTGGCCAGTGATTTATATCTGTATTTATTGAATACGTTTTGGGATTTCTCTCTTTGGCCAGTGATTTATATCTGTATTTATTGAATACGTTTTGGGATTTCCCTCTTTGGCCAGTGATTTATATCTGTGTTTATTGGATAATTTTTGAATTTTCCATATTGGCCAGTTTGCTAATACATATTTCTTTATTTTCTAGGGTACTTGCAGCTGCTACATCAGCCCAGGAAAAACGTTACTACTTTGGCAGTCTGAAGATTAACACACATCAGATAAGCCTCTCAATGTTGACCACTAGCAAGCTTTCCCCTGACTTACTAGCGATCAAACGGGCCCTTAGGATACCTTTGATCAAGTTCGAGGATGCTAAAGTTGAATTAGGTATGCAATTACACCCTCTTCAATAAATTTGGCAATTGTAAGTCTCCGTATGCTATTGTAGCATAGCTCTGGTTAGAGTTGGGTAATTAACATGGTGACCATTTTGAATTTCAAGTAAGATATTTACATGTAGCACTGGTTGTCTAGTTTAATACCCCTAATGAAATAAGTCTGCCCACATTGCATTAGGCCCTTAACCTTGACTTTGATTTACTTAAATAATTTTTGGTTCACATAATAAGCCTCTGCAATTACCCACATGTCCATGTCTCTGTCCCTCTCCATCCCTCTCATGTGACATACCTTTCATGTAACATCCCTCTCATGTGACAATATAAATGTAACAATTATATGTTATTTCAGATCCATTCATGAAGCAGCATCCATTTGAGACTAGTGCTTTCCTGTTAGATGCGATAGCAATACATTACACAGAGGTATGTAGCTCTGTAGTAGCTCTGTTTGTTACAGAGCAATGATGTGAAAACCATTTACAAATATACCCATTTCTGCCTATAGGCTTATTGGCTCATATGGTGAGCTTTTGCAATCACTCACTTGTCCGTCTGTCTGTCCGTCCGTCCATCCGTCCGTCCGTCCGTCCGTCTGTCCGTCAACAATAGTGGCACGTTTTAATACCTCTGTCGATAGGATTCCTGTTTTAAGTTATTTCTGTTCAAGATCAATACAGAAAACTCCCCTATGACTCCTGGTTCAAAAGCTCGCCTATTTTCAAAATGGCCGTCACTTTTGTCTCGCGGAATTCACTTTTGACCCATTTCCTTTAAATCCTCTGTCTATAGGATTCCTGTTTTAAGTTATTTTTGTTCAAGACACAGAAAACTCCCCTATGACTCCTGGTTCAAAAGCTCGCCTATTTTCAAAATGGCCATCACTTTTGTCTCGCGAAATTCACTTTTGACCCATTTCCTAGCTTTACAAATAATTTCAGGTGTCCTTCACTGTAAAAATCCATGTCAATGTAAAGAATAGATATATGTTATAATATTGTTACAAAAAATCAGCGAAAAATTATATGCATTTTTTTATTTTCAGCCATTTTAGTTAACATTGATTTGTCTATCTGACTCGCGAAATCCACTTTTTGTCAATAAAAGTGGCACGTTTTAAAACCTCTGTCGATAGGATTCCTGTTTTAAGTTATTTCTGTTCAACATCAATACAGAAAACTCCCCTATGACTCCTGGTTCGAAAGCTCGCCTATTTTCAAAATGGCCGCCATTTTTGTCTCGCGAAATTCACTTTTGACCCATTTCCTAGCTTTACAAATAATTTCAAGTGTCCTACATTGTAAAAATCCATGTCAATGTAAAGAGAAGATGTATGAAATAATTTTGTTACGAGAAATCAGCAAAAAATTATATCCATTTTTTTATTTTTAGCCATTTTAGTTAACATTGATTTGTCCATCTGTCTCGCAAAATCCACTTTTGGACCATTTACCTTAAACCCTCTGTCGATAGGATTCTCGTTTTAAGTTAATTTTGTTCAACATCAATACAAAAAACTCTCCTATGACTCTTGGTTCAAAAGCTTGCCTATTTTCAAAAATCAAAATTGTCGCCATTCAAAATGTTTCGCGAAATTCACTTTTTGCCCATTTCCTAGCTTTACAAATAATTTCAGCTGTCCTGCATTGTAAAAAGCCAAGTCACTGTAAAGAGTAGTTGTATGAAATAATTTTGTTACAAAAAATCGGCAAAATATTATATCTGTTTTTTTATTTTCAGCCATTTTAGTTAACATTGATTTGTTCATCTGTCTCGCGAAATCCTCTTTTAGACCATTTACTTAAAACCTCTGTCGATAGGATTCCAGTTTCACGTTATTTTTGTGCAACATCAATACAAAAAAACTCCCCTTTGACTCCTGGTTCAAAAGCTTGCCTGATTTCAAAATGGTCTTCATTTTTGTCTCGCGAAATTCAATTTTGGCCCATTTCCGAGCTTTACAAATAATTTCAGGTGTCTTGCATTGCAAAAAGCCATGTCACTGTAAAGAGTAGTTGTATGAAATAATTTTTTTCCAAATAATTGAAAAAAAATTATATCCGTTTTTTTTTTCAGCAATTTTACTTAACATCGATTTGTCCATCTGTCTCTCCGTCAGTCCAAAAGAGTGGCAAGTGGCTTGAAATAATTTTGTTACAAAAAATCAGCAAAAAATTATATCCGTTTTTTCTGTCACCATGTGAGCCCAGTGACCACGGTACTAGTTCATATATTATTTGTATATATATGTCATAAGTTGTCCATAATGGTTCAAAAGTAAAAAAATGTTTTTTATTTCATGAGCAAGAGGCACTCAGTAATTTTCTACAATCTTGCCCAAATTTCCCTGTAATGTGTTGATGAATTTATAATAACTTTAATAGTTGATTTATCTTGTTTTGCCTGTTTTGAATTTCTTATGTTACCCATGATTCTTAAGTTTACAATTAAAATTCATTTAACATTATTTTGACTTTGCTTGAATGTTGTGAGTGAGGAACCCATGAAAAATGGGACCATGTAATTCTCTACTGTTCTTAATGTTCCAGGAGTTGAAAAGTCAAGCAGCCAAGATCTTAGGGTCTGTAGATTTCCTTGGTAACCCTCTAGGGCTGTTTAATGATGTGGCTGAGGGCATAAGTGGACTTATCGTGGATGGTAATGTTGGGGGTCTCCTGAAGAATGTTACACATGGATTCTCTAATTCAGCCGCAAAGGTATTTATTTATCGTATGATCTGTAAAATGAAGCCTTCTGATTGGCCAGTTCTTGTGCTGTACCAATCTGTATTGCTACTGAGATTGTCCACGTTGATCATCTCCATCGCAATACAGAAAATATTGGTACGGAAGGAACAATCTCAGTAGCAATACAAAGGATCACATGATAAAAATGTTATTGAATGATTTGAAGTGCAATACTCGATATTCCGTATTGGCACTCGACTTCGTCTCGTTCCAATTCAGAATTTCTCGAGCAGAATATATCCTGTATTGCTTTTCAAATCATTCAATAACTTATAATAACTGTTTCCTTGATAATTGCCTTTACCAGAATACAGTAAAACCTGTAAGGTGGAACACCTCTGTAAGTGGAACACTTCTGTAAGTGGAACAACTCTGTAAGTGGAACAACTCCATAAGTGGAACGCTTTTCAAAGTTCCGCAATTGATTTATTGTTCAGTAAACCAACCTCTGTATGTGTTGCATATGTTGCCATAGAAACCATAACTTGAGTAAAATGTAATCACGTAACCACGACATCCCGCGTAGAATACTTTTTAGAGGTACCAAAGATGTTCCGTTTACACAGGTTTTACTCCAGTTGACAATAGAGACCTTAAGATATACGGACGACCTGTACGTGTACCTGTAATTACACGTACACGTACAGGTTTTTTAAATGTTCCTTTTGTGCGCCTAAAACAAGTCCTTAGTCACTCGTCGACGTGTACGTGTACGAAACAAGGAATTAGTGGGTATCTGGTGATGAAAGTATGATATTTTAAATCAGCCTACACACATATCCATAGTGATTCTGTATGGGGAAGTGTAATTTGCTTTAGGCATACAGATATACCAATGGGTGCTAGGTGTTTGGGCGAGGTAAAGATTTTTTATTTCCAATTGTTGCTATTGTAAATGGGCGATGGAAGGCCCGTGGGTGGCAGATAAAAGTCACAGAAAAATGTATTTAAAATATATAAAATAATCTATTTTGAAAGACTCTGTGTCCATGTACAGTTCATAAAACTACAAGGCAACTACTTCTGCTACTGGGCCAACACCCAAACTCAACTGAGTGAATGCGATTGCCATATATATGACACAAAACATTATAAAAAGAAACACAGCAAGGAAAAGTAACAAAACTGGTTGAAACAATAGATTGTGAAACTGAATAGTAAAACATATACAAAGGACAAGAAAACAACGGGATTAAAATACTGATGTAAAGAGATGAAGGGACCTGTTAATGTGTAAAACTGTTAGATGAATGAGGATTGATCATTATAAAATAATATGATTCAAATGACTATGTTACACTATGTAGATATTTATCTCTTGATAATTTGAGGAGATTTGTTTGTGTGTTAATCTGCTTGATTGCTTGTTTGTTTTATGTAGTGGTTCTTACTATAAAGCACGGTCTGTCTGCCTGCCAACATGTCGTTCAGCCTGTTAGCCTGTCGTTCTGTCTGCCAGCCTGTCCGTCCGTCCGTCCGTCCGCCCGACCGACCGCCCGCCTGTCTGTCTACAGTAGTTCGGCCTACTTTTTTTCGTTCATGAAGTATTATCTTTCTATTTCTAAGTTTTGGGCTCAAACAAATTTGAAAAATTTGAATTTTTTTGTTTTATTTGAATTTTTTTTGTTTTATTTGAGTTTTTTTAAAAAGAATTCAAACAATAATTTGAAAGAAATCAAAAAATGCGATAAAAAAATTTGAACAAAAAAGAATTTTGATTAAAAATTGATATTCGATGGTTTGGGACATTTTTTGCTAAAATATGATATCTTAATCCACATATCAAATATATATCTTCACGTGATATTCGATCTGTATCCTTGCTACCACGGGATAATATAGGAATATCCCATGGTTTTGTAAAAATATCATTTATATCCATGAGTGGATATATGATATCTTCACGAGTGAGCGCAATTGATGAGTGACGATATTGATATCAATGAATGGATATAAATGATATTTTTTAAAACCATTGGATTGTCCGTTTATCCCAGGGAAATCATTACCCATTAATGTCCATGAGTGGATATATGATATCTTCACAAGTGAGCGCAGTGAATGAGAAAAGATATTGATATCCATGAGTGGATATAAATTATATTTTTTCAAAACCATAGGATTGTCCGTACATACATATATATCCCCCGCTGTATGTCTCTCGCTCCAATATTCCGGGGAAAACGTTTTTGTCCAGCATAGAAACAGTCAATTTTTTATGATATATCTTGCGAGATAAATCAGTTATGGATGCTCGGTTTTGAATATGGGGTATATCCCTCGAGAAATATGGTATCTTACCTCGGACCGTCCGGGCCCTCGGTAAGATATCTATATTCCCCTTAGCAAGATAGGATATATCCCAAATACAGAACCTCCCATAACCCGCACTTATCCCATGGTTGCAAGGATATAGATCGAATATCACCTGAAGATATATTTGATATGTGGATCAAGATATCATATTTTAGCAAAAACAACCATCGAATATCACTTTTGAAACCATCGAATCTCACTTTTTCATATTAGAAATCTTGAAAGCATTGAACATCACTTTTTATATTAAAAGTGATATTCCATGGTTTCAAAAGTGATATTTCATGGTTTCGATTTTTTAAAATTTTCGCATACTTTACATCAAACAACTGATCAACAGAACAAAACACTCTGGCATGTAAAGGAGATAGCGAAATAGTCTAGTCTGCCGGAACAGTATGGCTTTCACTTAAGTGATACAATAATGGCAATATGAATTGCCATTATTTCATACTTGAAATTAACTGCAACTTTACCCATAGGATTCGTTATTTATTGAACCATAGCACATACACAGCTATTCGACAGATATGTTACTTTTAAATTAGTAACATAAATAAACAGCACATTGTTGTTTTAGTCATTTATCAATGGTTCAAAACTCACGTTCCAACCAACCTGTAAAGTGCCAAATTCACGTCTTGCCGCACGTGTAAAATGAATGAGACCGTGAAATAAATAGTACATAGTTATGTAATACTGATTTCACTCACAATCTTTCGCGTACAGGTTCACAACAAGACGACAAAAACGCCCGGCGCTATTGAATTTACAGGTCAACGGGATTATAAAACAAGTCAGACGTGTCGAATGGAGCATAAAGTTACATGATTTGTTGCGCGCGCATCATGTTTCACGTACAGGTGCAGGTACAGGTTACTATTTGGTGCAATCTTAAGGTCTCTATTGATACAAAATTATTACCCGTAATGAAGCAGGCCCAGACTTGGTGTTAGATGTACAAATGTTCTTTCTGCTATATTATAAAACTTTGTGACACAACAGCTATCCTGAAGTTTGAACACTTCAGTGATCTCCCCAGGATTTTTTCTCATTTTCCAAATTCAGATAAAAATTGGTCAAAATATGCCAATTTTATGATTTTCTCATTTTCAAGTGGGTGCAAATGGATTTTCAGGTGGGTGCAAGCCTATTTTCAAAGTCTCAGGTGGGTGCTGCGCCCACTTGCTTTAATGCTGGGGAGATCACTGCACTTCATTTTTGCCATCACTGTATAACTGCTTCAATAATCAATAATATCAATTTGTCAATTCTCATGAAAAATGCAGGTGGTGATATTGTATAGGGTGACACAAAATATGCCACCCACACACATACTGTTACCCACATGATTCCAAAATCAATAATGTTACAAAAGCTGTGTGGCATTTTGAAGTGTAGAATCTATCGGTGTCTGCAAAGGAATGGACAATATTTAGAGCAAATGTTGTAACCCTCATAAAATTTGACCCACTTGAGCTACACATCTGAAAATTCCCGAGGTGCTTTTGCATTATGTACTCTTTATATGTTCCAAGGGACAAGTTTCTTTTTTTCATCAAGAGATTTTATTGCCATTAATCATTATAAGTACATATCATACATGAGGGACCCAATCGCCAGTGGCATTATAGGTGTCCCTCAATGTAGTAATTACAATTTGCAAACATGGTTTATACACAATTATATATAAGAAGAAAAAGAAAAAAGAAAGCATCTGCACTTTACTTGGAGTGTGGGGGGGCTGCTGCCTCTGCCTATAGGGTCTTGGAAACAAAGATATCGTAGTATGAGTAGGGAAAAGGACAAATAAATTGTGCAACGTACATGTATTCATACACAAAATAAATTTCAAAAAGTTACTGTTAAAGGCCACATATAAAGTTTAAACCACTTTGGCTTATATTGTAGCCTTACCCAATGTTATCAAAGTGTGATATGTGGAACTTTTTTTCAATAATCTCTAAAATACATGAAACGTCTCAATGGTAAATAAATGATAAAAACTTAATATTATGCATTCTAATTCTATGCAGTGATCTCCCCAGCATTACAGCAAGTGGGTGCAGCACCCACATGAGATTTTGGTAATAGGCTTGCACCCACCTGAAAATCCATTTGCACCCACTTGAAAATGAGAAAAATCATGAAAAATTGGCATGTTTTGACCAATTTTGGTCTGAATTGTAAAAATGAGAATTTTGCATCCACCTGAGAAAAAATCCTGGGGAGATCTCTGCTATGGTAACTTACTATCTCACAGAGTATGCCCTTCTTATTAGTGAAAGGCATACCATTGTCTTACATGGTATACAGTATACCTATTGTTTTTTAAGTTTTTGATGCTTACAAAACACAAAGCGATATACTCGCCTAATAAGAAATATGAAACACGTAACAGCAAACATTAGACATATGACAAGCACAAATACAATATCCAACAAATAGTACTGGAAAAAGTTCAACTCCTTCATAGGCCTTGATTGTAAATGTTTAGCCCCTTTGTGCTTCATGACATATTCCGCCCAGTATTGTATGGTGTAGGAGGCATTTACAGGCTGATCCCGTGCAAGTTCTTGAGCCTTCAGGGCATTCTGTTTGTATTGCGGATTTCCCAAGACTTCATTTACAACACTGGTCAAGAGTTTCTCTGTGATATCAGAGAAATTTACGACCAAGCCCATCTTTAAACGCTGTGTGAGAATAGTGCAGTGATGTCGCTGATCGTAAAATAATGGTATTCCAATTATGGGGACACCATTAAACACCGCTTCTGCTGATCCTGAAGCTCCGCAATGTGTTATGAAAAGTTTCAGTTTTGGATGTCCCAAAAGGTCATTTTGTGGTAACCATGGCAACAGCATTGTATTCTCACCTAGACTTTTAGGGATTGGTCCACTGTACCGCCAAAACACTCGCTGTTTCAATTTCGCAAAAGCAGTCGCAAAGATTTCCCGCTGATGTTCGTCCATTCCTCTCGGCATTGAACCAAAGGTCATGATGATAAAACCATTTTCACCAGCGCCATCTATAAACTCTATGAATTTATCATCAATTGGTTTATGTGGTTTGTCTTTCAATCCAAGAACGGGGATGACGTTTGGCATGATTGGTCTGGGATAAAAGTAGGCGAAATTTGATTGTATGAAGATAAGGTCTCCGTCGGAGAGCTTATGGTTAGTGGTTGGTGGTAGACCAAGCTTTCCGGCAAGTTTACCCCAGGTTTCGTCCCTTAAGTCATACCAGTTACGCTTGCACCAAATCATCATTAGATAGTAATAAACATTCATGGCTCTCTCGGTAAATGACATGTGATCTGAATAGGGAACAACGACTATTGGTATATGTGCTAATGGTAGTGGCATCAACCAGTTTTCAAAGTGCATTTCGTAGCCAGCATTCGACCATAAAATTGTGGGCCTGTCCAAATACTGTTTCGCTATTCCGCCAAGTATACAATCCCAACTGTCTAAAATGACCAAATCAAAAGATGCATCTTTGAATTTTTTCCACTGGTGAAGATCGTTGAAATATGGATGCATCAAATGATGGTGGTAATGAAAAAATATGTTATCTTTCGCAAAAATCATCTCAAGCTCTCCTTCAATTGAACTAGTCATTAATTCCTGTACAGAATCTTCAGGCACTTGATAAGCTACTTTATCACTGGGATATTCATACTGTTCGATGTTGATACTAGTCTCAAAGAATTCATTAGGGATGTCATACTCATTGGGAACATAATATGTCACATTATGCCCTGCTTGTGTCAAAATTAGTGCGATTTTTTCCATTGCTGCAAATCTGGAATTCTTGGCTAAGGCATACGGCACCATAAATACAGTCCCACCATTAATGATTCCAACTGCTAAACAGAAAGCCATCATCGTGAATAGAGTTTCTGCCATGTTCACTTTTTATCAAAATTAGCTCATCTGATATCTTAAGATTAATATTTGTACACTCCAGTGCCCTTTGACCTTAAAAAGTCCAATCTTGTTGAATTGTTTGAAAATTAAAGTTTGATTTGCTGAGTTATTTTGGTTTACTATATGTCTTCTCTATTAGGCCACTTCTCCTGTATTACTGTGTATTACTTGTTTATATAAGCTGACTGTTCTAACTTATGAACTTTGCACTCCTCTATCACACAAATGAAACACATACACCCCACTCTGTGTCTCTTACATGTTATTGCAAAACACAATGGCAAGATCTGGGCGCAACGTTCAAGAGATGATCGCAAGATGCAAGTTGGACTGCTTGATGATCTTGATGACAAATTTGGACCATAAAGGGTTAAAGTCTTATTATTTGATCTGCATAAATGCAGGCCATAAACAGTGAACACTTTGAGAACTTGTACATAATAACATTAACCACAGATTAGTATAGTTGGCTTTATTCCAATTCTTTTTGAAATGACATTTTTACCTTATAATAGCTAAAATGCTCATAGTACTCACAATTATGAACTGTTCACATCCTATTGGAACTTACACGTATATATTTGCAGTTATAAACATTGAAGCCTATAATTGACATACTACAACCAGTTGCTTTTTAAGGAGTTAGCTACATGAAACAAATCTAATTACTGCAGACATTCAAACCTGATTTGAAGTCATAACAAATTGAATTAACTCACAGGTTCTATTTCAATATATTTTTAAAAAGTTTTTAGACACTTCCCTCAATTTCTTTCCTGAGTGTTATTTTGAACCTCCTTATATGTGTTCAGAAGCTTGATTAATTGGTCAGACTATTGATTTTCTTCCCTGCTCTAGCTAGGGAAATATTTTGCTTTTGCAAGAGATTATTTATTTTTTTCAGTTGAAAGATTTCAAAACTTGGTGGAAGAATACTTTCATACTTGGTCAAATTGTTTGATCTTAACACTCATTAACAACCCATATTATATATCCATATTTTAACAGACTTAGAGTGTTACCTGAAAACCGTACACTTTTGCACACCATGAAAGCTTTATAAATTACATTTTGTAAGCAGTGAGCATTTACTTTACCACTAAATTTTTCGCTTAAAATGGGTGTGAGCATCAACACTTGGAGAGCACGCATTGGTCTGTTTAATGGTAATCAAAGCACTGCCCACCACAGTAAGGCTAATTGCACTTTTAATATGCCATCTATATGCAGTAAAATGAAACAATTTATACATAAGTGCATTCTACCTTTGATATTTGCTTGTTTAGTCTTGTTGGCACTCTTGCCAATTAAATTACAACTCTTGATGTGCATAATTGCCTTGTATGGGTGCATTGTCACTTGTATAGTGATGCCAATGAGCATGGTAACCATCTGCATACTTTCATTTGTCCATCATAAGCATAAGTACTTTGGTTCATTTTATATCTTAAAGATGGTCTTTACCAGTGGTTTACTTTTACTTATTCTGCCATTTACCTGCTACACCCCAAATATTATCCAAATTTTACTTATCCTTAGCAATGATATCCATCAAAATCCAGGCCCTAGAAAAAATTTAGATCTTACCAATTTCCTTTTTTCAAATATAAATAGTATTAAAGCAAATGATAATAGCAGATTTAGTGCTTTAAAAGATCATATACATATTAACAATAGTAAAATTATTGGTTTGTGTGAAGTTGGAAACCTTTCAAATGAAGAAATTTCACATAACTATTCTATTGATGGATTCCATGCACCAGTCTATTTAAATAAAAATCGTGGGTTATTAGTTTATATCCATGAAGATATTCCTTTCAAAATTAGGCATGACTGCATGAATGACTTTGGTGATTCTATCTGGGTGGAAGTTAAAATCAATTTTAAATCAATTCTTTTTGGCACATACTATCGTTCACCATCTCAAAACCAAGCTGAGACTCAGGATTTTTTTAGTAGATTTTCCATTACATGTAGTAAATTGCTTCACTCTAAAATAGACTTAATGTTGATAAAAGGTGATTTTAATGCCAGGTGTAAAAGCTGGTGGGCATTAGATAATGAAAACTCAGCAGGTAAAATATTATATGATTATTCAGAGTCGTTAGGTCTTTTTCAACTTATAGATGAGCCGACACGAGTTACAAATTTGAGTAGGTCATGCATTGATCTTTTATTTACAAACAACCCCGATCAAATAAGCAATACAACAGTTAAACCTCCAATTGGATACACAGATCATAGTACTTTATCTACTGACTGTTGTTTTACTACTTTGAAAGAGGCGCCATACTCAAGACGGGTTTGGTACTATTCCAAAACAGATATTACATTACTTAACAGTACAATACGCGAAGCAAATTTGGAACAGTTAATAGAATCGGTAAACGATATTGATAACCTTGTGGAACAGCTTAGCGATAACCTTTTGAAAATATTCTCTGACCTGATCCCAAACTCAGTAATTAAATTCAAATCCACTGACAAACCTTGGTTTAATGACAAAATTAAAACCCTGATAAATAAAAGAAATAAGTTACATTATAAATTTAGAAAAACCCATAGCTTGACCTACCTTCAAAAATACAATGAACAATGCACAATAGTTGACAATGCCATAGAGGAAGCTAAGCAAATTCATGATTCAAATTTGCGCCACAAGCTCAATTCGTATAAACATGGAAGCATGTCTTATTGGTCCATCATATCAAAACTTTTGGGAAGATCTAAAAATTCAAAAATACCGTTTTTGTTTGACCACAATGGAAATTGTATTTCCAGAGGCAATGAGAAGGCAAATTTATTTTTGGAACACTTCATAAAAAACTTTCATTTAGATGGAGAAGCTGGAAATATTTCTTTGAATCTCAGAACTCCAAATCAAATTGACATACTTTCGACCCATGAATCCGAGATTTTTGAAATACTACTTTCATTAAACATAAATAAAGCAACCGGCCCTGACATGATAAGTAATAGAATGTTAAAAATGGCAGCACCAGCCCTCTCTCCCATTTTATCTAAACTGTTCAACAAAATGTTTACTCTTCAAGCCTTTCCTCAAAAATGGAAAATTGGGCATATTTTACCTGTTCATAAAAAGGGTGATAAATCTAATATTCAAAATTTTCGTCCAATCACGCTCCTTTGTTGTATTTCAAAAATAGCTGAACGTATCATTTTCAAACGATTATTTGACCATCTACTATCAAATGACCTATTTTACAATCTTCAAAGTGGGTTTCTGCCAGGGCACAGCACTCAGGCTCAATTATTAAGCATTATTGATTTTATAACAAATGAAATAGAATCTGGGGGAAATGTAAGGGGGGTTTATTTAGACATTTCAGCTGCGTTTGACACCTTACCTCATTCTTTGCTACTAAAAAAACTTGAATCTTATGGAATTGGCCCAAGTATTCTATCACTTTTAGCATCATATCTTTTTAAGAGACAAGCAAAAGTTATCCTTGATGGTCAAGAGTCTGTTTTGAGCGATGAGGATTATATAAATGCTGGCGTTCCACAAGGCTCTATTCTTGGACCCCTACTCTTCCTGATTTATATAAATGATCTCCCTGAAACCTTATCAAGCAAATGCTATATTTATGCAGATGACACATCTCTATACCAACCATATTCCAAATCAAATCTCATTGAAAGTAACACAATTTTACAATCTGATCTTAATTCAATTTTCCAATGGTCCAAGACATGGAAAATGAACTTTAAGGCCTCTAAAAGCAAAGACATAATTTTCTCAAACCCAAGGAAATGTGAATATAACGTTCCTGACCTCAAAATTGGTAATGATGTTCTACCTCGAGTTGATCATCATAAACATTTAGGTCTCATACTAGACAAACACCTAACTTTTGACCAACACATCACAGAGCTCACCAAGAGGATTGATAAACTATTAAACCCACTTAAATCTCTAAGCAACAAATTAAATGGAAAACACCTGGAATTAATCTTCAAATCTTTCATACTTCCAATTTTCGACTATTGCGATATTCTTTATGGTTGTGCAAATATAAATAAATTAAAATCCATTGATCAATTATACTACAAAGCAGCCTGCATTTGCTCAGGTGTACTACATGGAACATCTTCAACAAAAGTCTTTAACTGCTTAAATTGGCCAAAGCTATCTGATAGAAGACAAATGCATAGACTTTTCCTGATGTACCGAGCTTACAACAATAAACTTCCATCCTACGTTTTGAGCATTTTTAATCAATATCGTAGAAATCTTCCATCAATAACACGAAGAAGTCGTGACTACCAAATTCCAATCAAAACCTCAACATTTTCAAATAGATCATGCGTATTTAAATCCATCATTGACTGGGAGTCTCTCCCACCCGAAATTAAAGAATCACCAAATCTAAATATTTTTAAATCGAATGTAAAGAAAAAATTAATGACTACTTATATCATTAATTCCTCTGAGATCTCCTTGACAAGGAGCCAAGAAATTTCTCTGAACAAGGTGCGCTGTGATCTGATCTTCCAGTCCCATTTTTACGCCCACAATTTTACTAATGTACCATCCCCTACATGCAAATGTGGGTATAGCAATGAAACATCCATTCATGTCATGTTCTCTTGTAACCTTAGATCACAATATCTTAAAGATTTAGAGGATGCACTTACTCTTCTAAATTTTAATTACCCAGCATTTAAAAACCAGCAAGACAAATTATCATTGTTTTTGTATGGAGACAGAAGTCTGCCAAAAGAAGTTAATATTGAAATTTTAAGGCTCACCTCAGCTTTTATTCAAAGGTGTGCAAGTGTGTAAGTATTTCTTCCACCACCAACTGTATAATTTTGTACACAATAATTCTTTTGTTTATTGCAAATTCATTGTCATACTTTCTTTTTAAATCTTGTTATTGTTTAATTGTGGCTTATAATGCTTCATTGCAAAGCCGCAACATGTGTATGTAATAATTCTATTTTACTATGAAATAAATCAAATATAAAAAAAAAAAAAAAAAAAAATTGCAAAACACTTGAAATAAATGCAAATACAGCAGCGCAAAAACTACTTTACATAAAACATTGTCATCAAGAATGATTGAACTATCCTCTTTCAATTATAAACTGATTTTTTATTATTTTTTTATTTCTTATTTCCTTCATGTAACAATAATTTTGGAGTTACCACACACACTCAAAATGAAAAGACATGTGTCAGTAAACCCTTCTTTTAGCCCCCTACTAAACAAGTATGTATGGACATTTGACATTGTTTTGACATTTGACCTTGACACTTGAGTTGTTTAAAGGTCAACTTCAAGAGATGCTATTTTTGTACAAATTTTCACACTTTCTAATAATTGAAATAAAAATATTTTAAATAGATTTTCATGGGCAATTCTGGAAAATCATGAGATTAAATGCCCATATAGTAGAGGTGTAATATTCCAGAGTCAGTAACTCAAGTACAGCTCGTCAGACATGCCCATACATTGCCTTGAGTTGTCCTCTAGAAGCTTGCAATCTATTTCAACTCGCGAGCTAGCTACAACTCGAGTAAACTTGCGAGTTTTGCCTATCTTTCAAGCATGTAAAAATGAATAATTCGGGTCCCAGAGATCATGCAACATTACTTCATTAGGAGAATAAATATTCCAATGATCGCCGTATTTAGCGCCCGTCACCTAAAAAACACTCTCAAAGCTTCACAAAGTTCAATAAATATTAAGGAATGACAAGTTACACCAAAAAAATCAGAAAAAGATTGACTATCGAAGGAACTCAAGCGGGCGATGATTGAATAAAAATGGTCCCCTTATTCTCACGTCATTTTCACGACTTTTACATCAAAAGGATGATCTATGATTAAATTCAGATCATATGTCAAAACTTTAGATCAATATCCAGCAGTCTTTAGTAGAAATAATGAAGATAATCCAGGAAACCCTTCTGGGTTTTCTAAAATATTGTTTGGTTAGATTCTCGGTTCATTTTAGCGATCTCTAGTCCTTACCGTATGCTGCGACGTCTATTGACCAGATCGTTTTTGATTGAAAAACGAGATAACTGCAATGAATACCACACTTTCTTATGGCCCAAACGTGTTAAACAGCTTTAAGATGTGACTAAATCAGAGGAAATTGCTGCTAGAAGTTACAGTAATTTTGTGTACCCGGGTTTACAATATTAATTTATTTCGATTATTTTTTGTATAACGCATGGAAACAAACTTTAAAAAGTGATTAATGTCATTAGTGTTGTGATAATAACACCCCTTATACCTATTTATTACAGGTTGTGTAGACCATTGTTGCCTGATTTATAGCAAAAACATTGATTTTTGCACGTTGGTGATGATGCGCCTTTCTAATAGATCTCGTATCAGTTCTAAAAAAATACATATTTTGCCATGCACAGCTCCTATTCATTTGGCCATTCAGTTGTAAATGTTCTCTTGAAAAAACAAATCTTCCAAATTTGTTGAGTTTTCTTGCAGAAACTGCCCTCCATTCATTTTGTACGATTATTGGGCGTGATAATGTCCTCAGCTCAGCTGCAGGTGACTTCATCCCACTTTTTATGTCACCACCAAAAGTGGTGACATATTGTTATGGTCTCCGTTTTTTTGCGACGGCGGTTGGTGGTTGGCGTCCGGCGGTTGGAGGTTGGCGTCCGGCGTCTGTAACAATTTCTTACAACTTCCTATAACTTAACAAATACTGTTTAGACTGACTTCAATTTTTTTCTAAATCATCTACATGTTCTCAGAAGTTCAAATCTTACTTTAGATTTGACATTTGACCTTCAATGACCTTCTCAAGGTCAAAAAGGTCTTTTTTCAACTTGCTTCACATTGACTAAATTTTTTTTCAAAATCATCTACATGTTCTCAGAAATTCAAATCTGACTTTAGATTTGACTTTAGATTTGACATTTGACCTTCAAATCTGACTTAAGATTTGACATTTGACCTTCAATGACCTTCTCAAGGTCAAAAAAGGTCAAAAAGGTCTGTTTTCAACTTGCTTCAAATTGACTAAATTTTTTTTTCAAAATCATCTACGTGTTCTCAGAAATTCAAATCTGACTTAAGATTTGACATTTGACCTTCAATGACCTTCTCAAGGTCAAAAAAGGTCAAAAAGGTCTGTTTTCAACTTGCTTCAAATTGACTAAAAAAATTTTCAAAATCATTTACGTGTTCTCAGAAATTCAAATCTGACTTTAGATTTGACTTAAGATTTGACATTTGACCTTCAATGACCTTCTCAAAGTCAAAAAAGGTCAAAAAGGTCTTTTTTCAACTTGCTTCAAATTGACTAATTTTTTTTTTTCAAAATCATCTACATGTTCTCAGAAATTCAAATCTGACTTTAGATTTGACATTTGACCTTCAATGACCTTCTCAATGTCAAAAAAGGTCAAAAAGGTATTTTTTCATCTTGCTTCAAATTGACTAAAATTTTTTTTCAAAATCATCTACATGTTCTCAGAAATTCAAATATGACTTTAGATTTGACTTTAGATTTGACATTTGACCTTCAATGACCTTCTCAAGGTCAAAAAAGGTCAAAAAGGTCTGTTTTCAACTTGCTTCAAATTGACTAAATTTTTTTTTCAAAATCATCTACATGTTCTCAGAAATTCAAATATGACTTAAGATTTGACTTTAGATTTGACATTTGACCTTCAATGACCTTCTCAAGGTCAAAAAAGGTCAAAAAGGTCTTTTTTCAACTTGCTTCAAATTGACAAATGTTTTTTTTCAAAATCATCTACATGTTCTCAGAAATTCAAATATGACTTAAGATTTGACTTTAGATTTGACATTTGACCTTCAATGACCTTCTCAAGGTCAAAAAAGGTCAAAAAGGTCTGTTTTCAACTTGCTTCAAATTGACTAATTTTTTTTTTCAAAATCATCTACATGTTCTCAGAAATTCAAATATGACTTAAGATTTGACTTTAGATTTGACATTTGACCTTCAATGACCTTCTCAAGGTCAAAAAAGGTCAAAAAGGTCTTTTTTCAACTTGCTTCAAATTGACAAATGTTTTTTTTCAAAATCATCTACATGTTCTCAGAAATTCAAATCTGACTTTAGATTTGACATTTGACCTTTAATGTCCTTCTCAAGGTCAAAAAAGTTCAAAAAGATCTTTTTTCAACTTGCTTCAAATTGACCAAATTTTTTTTTCAAAATCATCTACATCTTTTCAGAAGTTCAAATTTGACTTTACAAGTTCTCAGAAGTTCAAATCTGACTTTAGATTTGACCTTCAATGACCTTCTCAAGGTCAAAAAGGTCTTTTTTCAACTTGCTTCAAATTGACTAATTTCTTTTTCAAAATCATCTACATGTTCTCAGAAGTTCTTCTTAAGGTCAAAAGGTATTTTCCAACTTGCTTTAAATTGACCAAATTGTTTTAGGTGGTGACATTTTGTCATGTTAATGCCTTGTCTAATGCCTGCATTTCTATAAAAATCACTAAATGGAGAAATCACTAAATCAACTTATTTTTAGGAATATTTTCATAGTTTGACCTCTTCATTTTACCATTTCACTACTCCATTTTTGCCATTTGACTATTTTATATTTGACCAATCACTTTGCCATTTGACACAAGAATACAGATTCTATGTGTTTTTTGATTTTATCTTGAGACATTCTAATTAATCAATAATATCAAATCATAAAACTATGCAGGTGGCGATACTATCAGTTATCACACGTTTCAGCATGTGATACAGGAAATATTCCACGAAAGGTAATATTGTATCATCCACGAAAGCGAAGCTTGAGTGGTGATACATTGTTACCCGAGTGGAATATTTCCTGTATCACATAAGCTGAAACGTGTCATGACGATTTTATCACATGTCTAGGAATTTTGAAGCATTTTGATTTGGTCAGTTATGATTGTGTTCAGAACCCCGTGTACTTCTGGTAACTATTATAATTTTTGCAAGGAGGATTGGAAGCCAGGGTTCCAACTCAATATTCTTTAATCTCCACGCATGCGTCATTTGCTATTCGTGTCTGTATAATTTGTACGACTGCATGGAGAATGACCCGATACTCTCCAACAAAGCTATCGCTAGGTGATTGTTTTGCAGAATATCGGTGTTGCATTCTGGGAGCCAATCCTCCTTGAATTTTTGATTTCGCTTTGAAACAATATGACGTCATACCGTTGTATTCGTACTTGTTTGTGAAATAGTATGACGTCATATTGTTTTCCTTAGCTAGAAGTGATATAATCAGTGAGGTCACATCGTTGCTATTGATCATCACTGGTTGCCTCTAGTAACGTGTGAGACGGCCGTGTGACACGGGAAAACTCACACGGCAATCAACCAATCAAATGACTGGAATTTTACAGAGCATGTGATAATGTATATTATCATGTTATGCTTCAAGAAAAGATCAGTTATACATGCTGGCTATAAAGTGAAATATAAAGTCTATTATTAGTATTATAAATCTATGAATCTGGCTAATTTTTCACAGAAAGTCGAACCAATATGTATATGCAATGTTGTGAATTATACATCATACAGAGAATAAATTTCGACAAGTTACTGTTCCTACATGTATTCTGCATTCTCGTAACCTTATACTACCTCATAGAGTATGCCCTTCTTCATGTAATGTAAGGTATAAAGTTATACCTATTGTTTTTTAAGTTTTTGATGCTTACAAAACACAAAGTGATATACTCTCCTAGTAAGTAATATGAAACACATGACAGCAAACGTTAGACATATGACAAACACAAATACAATGTCCAACATGTAGTACTGGAAAGAGTTCAACTCCTTCATAGGCCTTGATTGTAAATGTTTAGCCCCTTTGTGCTTCATGACATATTCTGCCCAGTATTGTATGGTGTAGGAGGCATTTACAGGCTGATCCCGTGCGAGTTCTTGAGCCTTCAGGGCATTCTGTTTGTATTGCGGATTTCCCAAGACTTCATTTACAACACTGGTCAAGAGTTTCTCTGTGATATCGGAGAAATTTACGACCAAGCCCATCTTTAAACGCTGTGTGAGAATAGTGCAGTGATGTCGCTGATCGTAAAATAATGGTATTCCAATTATGGGGACACCATTAAACACCGCTTCTGCTGATCCCGAAGCTCCGCAATGTGTTATGAAAAGTTTCAGTTTTGGATGTCCCAAAAGGTCATTTTGTGGTAACCATGGCAACAACATTGTATTCTCACCTAGACTTTTAGGTATTGGTCCACTGTACCGCCAAAACACTCGCTCTTTCAATTTCGCAAAAGCAGTCGCAAAGATTTCCCGCCGATGTTCGTCCATTCCTCTCGGCATTGAACCAAAGGTCATGATGATAAAACCATTTTCACCAGCGCCATCTATAAACTCAATGAATTTATCATCAATTGGTTTATGTGGTTTGTCTTTCAATCCAAGAACTGGGATGACGTTTGGCATGATTGGTCTGGGATAAAAGTAGGCGAAATTTGATTGTATGAAGATAAGGTCTCCGTCGGAGAGCTTATGGTTAGTGGTTGGTGGTAGACCAAGCTTTCCGGCAAGTTTACCCCAGGTTTCGTCCCTTAAGTCATACCAGTTACGCTTGCACCAAATCATCATTAGATAGTAATAAACATTCATGGCTCTCTCGGTAAATGACATGTGGTCTGAATATGGAACAGCGACTATTGGTATATGTGCTAATGGTAGTGGCATCAACCAATTTTCAAAGTGCATTTCGTAGCCAGCATTCGACCATAAAATTGTGGGCCTGTCCAAATACTGTTTGGCTATTCCGCCAAGTATGAAATCCCAACTGTCTAAAATGACCAAATCAAAAAATGCGTCTTTGAATTTTTTCCACTGGTGAAGATCGTTGAAATATGGATGCACCAAATGATGGATGTAATGAAAAAATATGTTATCTTTTGCAAACATAATGTCGAGCTCTCCTTCAATTGTACTCATCATAAATTCCTGTACAAGATCTTCAGGTGCGCTATAAGCTATTTTATCACTTGGATATTCATACTGTTCGATGTTGATACTTGTCTCGAAGAATTCATTAGGGATGTCATACTCATTGTGAACATAATATGTCACATTATGCCCTGCTTGGGTCAAAATTAGTGCGATTTTTTCCATTGCTGCCAATCTAGAGGTCTTGACTAAGGCATACGGCACCATAAATACAGTCCCACCATTAATGAGTCCAACTGCTAAACAGAAAGCCATCATTGTCAATATAGTTGCTGCCATGTTCACTATTCACTTCTTTTTCAAGAATAACTGAACTGATGTCTTCAACTAATATTTGTACACTCCAGTGCCCTTTGATCTTGAAAAAGTCAAATCTTATTGAATAGTTTGAAAGTTAATATTTGATTTGCTGAATCATTTTTCTTCTATGTCACTTCTCCTGTATATTATCACAATGTCTTACTACATTTTTGATTATACAGTCTTACTTTAATGTAACCTATGACTTTTATATTTGTTTATCTTACAAGTGGAACACATACACCTCACATGAATGTCTCTTACATGTAATTGTAAAACACTTGAAATAAATACAAATACAGCAGAAAAAACTTTACATAAAACTTTGTCATCAAGAATAATTGATCTGTCCTCTTTTAATTATTAACTGATGGAGAATTTAAGAGTTACCACACACACTCAAAATGAAAGGACATGTGTCAGTCTTTTAGCCCCATACAAAACAAGTATATATGGACATGGAAATGAAGAGGAAGCATGACTCATTACTTAAAATGTGATTTCTAAGAGTTTTGACATTTGACCTCGAAACTTGAATCATTTAAAGGTCAATTTTAAGAGATGCTATTTTTGTACAAATTTTCACACTTTCTAATAATGGAAATTAAAATATTTTTAATAGATTTTCATGGGCGATTCTGGAAAATCATGAGCTTAAATGCCCATATAGATATTTTCTATCGGCACTGGATTTTCTTGCTTCAAAAGTTAATGTTCTTGTTCGCCTTTGAGGCTCTTCCAGTATTCTGAGCATGTTTTAAGAGCTAGAGAGTTAGAAAGTGATCATTTTTTTAAATGCCCATGGTCAATTAGGCGAAAATGATTGCAATTAAATACACATAATAAGGACACTTAATAACAATGGATTTTCACTAAATGGACTAATTTTTAGGAATATTTCCATGGAAATCATTTAATGGACTAATTTTTAGGAATATTTCCATAAAAATCACTAAATGGACTAATTTTTAGGAATATTTCAATAGAAATCATTTGATGGACTAATTTTTAGTAATATTTCCATAAAAATCTCTAAATGGACTAATTTTAGGAACATTTCCATAGAAATCATTTAATGGACTAATTTTTAGGATTATTTCCATAAAAATCTCTAAATGCACTAATTTTTATGAACATTTCCATAGAAATCATTTAATGGACTAATTTTTAGTAATATTTCCATAAAAATCTCTAAATGGACTAATTTTTAGGAATATTTCCATAGAAATCACTTATAATTTAATCGTTCATATCATAAGGAAAGGTAAGTTTACTTCCACACAAGGTACTTCTTGCTTGTCTTGAATGTAATTGTATCCATGTAACTAACCATGTATCTTACTAAGTATGATGGGATATGTCAGGCAGAAGTGGGAAAGAACCTCTTGTGGAATTTGACAGTAAATGCGCAGTTTGAGAGTCAATATCAGTGTAGTAGACTAAATGTCTGGGTATAAAAATGTGCGTAAGTGAGATATTAGTTAGGGTTACACGGACTGCAGGTTTTAAGAAAGATAAGAGCAGGTTAGAGAGGAAAGAAGAGAAAAGTAAGATGGGTTTGGAAAGACTCTTTAAGTAATAATGGACATTGGTGAAGACAAACATTGGTGGTCATTTGAATTATCGGACATTGGTGGCAGTGGTGTTTTGCAAACTCATGTCAAAGAGGAACTTTAGACAGGATGGTCCAGGATGGTTTTGAATCACACACAATATGATGTAAAAATTAGCATCCTACCTCTGTTAGTTGCAAAGTTATTGTGATCAAAAGAAATGTTCAGTGTTTCCAAAGATGAGAACATCTTTCAGTGAAATCGCAACATAACCCTATAATGTCTTAAAATGTCAATATCTTCATTAATCATGGACCAATTCTAATGAAATATGGCTCAAAACACTGAATATTAGATTTCCTTTTGATTTTTGTAAGATTTTATATGAAGGGCTTCTCAGATTTTGGGTCACAAGGGGTAACTTTGCCCCCCTCTACCCATTTGTGTAGTTAACATGCCTCTAAACTGTTGAATGGTTAAAACAGCTTCAAAATGGTCAATAAAAGTGTGAAATGTGTTTTCATCTCAAATAGTGTCCCATTTTCATATAGTAGGGTTTAAACTTATAATCTCTCACTGAAAGCTTTTTTTAATATCATCTAATGTGTATCAACAATTTCCGTCAATCCAGTTGTAAAATTTTGCCCAAAATATAATTTGAGGCATGTTTGTTTAAGTCTTGTAATTTCTTCGAAATTCAAGGCTGAGAAAAATTATGGTGTCAACAAAAATTTAAGACCTTTCTCTACAAAATGTGATAATATGAGCAAATTCATGCATGTATTAAGGAAAATATAGCCTGTTGCAGGGGTTCACTTTTTTGGACCACCCTGTAAATGTATTTGACTTTAACCTCTTGAATCCCAGGCTCTAAAATTGGCATGAAACCAGAGAATTTTTCATTTTTTGCCACCTTTTGACATTTTATTACATACCTATACAACTTTAGATGCTCAGCTTAGTAAAATTGGACGGCAGAGATCATTTCTACACGTTTTAAAACAATTTTTGTGTAAATTGGATGAAAATTGTTCAAATGAGAGCAATTTTTGTGACAAATTTTGTGACGGATTTTCTCGTCCCTCTGGGCACCAGTCTTATTTCATTTGTGACGGATATATCCGTCACTCTGGGTATTCAAGAGGGTAATGAATGAATGATGAACAGGATTGCACTTAAAAGGAACATTAAAGTTATTTGGACCGTAAGAGTGATGCAGCTTAAATTTGGAAAATAACTGTTTACCGTGAACTGTAAAATGTTAAAAGGTCTAAAGATTGACTTATCAATTAATTTGGGACAAAAATGGACATTAACCAAAATATTCTTCACAACTTGAAGGATCAAAATATTAACAATATGCAAAATTGGAGTAAACTACATGAATTTTAACATGATCATCTCTGCATAGACTCTGTCTGTGTCATCACAACCTCTTGCAAAGAACTACAACGCTACCAGAACCAAGCTTAAAATTGATAACTTGAAATATAAAATATGTTATTCGATATGCTGTTGATGTTTAAAGTCTACAGCGACCTATTGTTCAGCATCCAGAAGCTCAGTCTTTTGCAACGCTGCAAAACATTTAATAAACGCATACGTCCCATCGTTAGAACATTATATGGGCAATTCTTCTTGAACTGTATGATCTCAAATTGAAAACTGGTAATAGCATTGACAAAACATCGATAAAATGGATAACAACTCAGATGTATCGGTTACATTAGCCTTAGTATCAAACCCTGCGTGGAGAAAATGCTGGTTTTTTCTGTATGTACAGTTGTAATCTGAACACCTGGCTATCTGAACATTGACTCCCATTTTCATGTCACCACCAAAAAGTGGTGAAATATTGTTATGGTCTCCTTTTTGATGGTTGGTGGTTGGCGGTTGGCGTCTATATCAAATTCTTACAACTTGCAATAACTTAACAAATACTGTTTAGACTGATTTCAGTTATTTTCAAAATCTTCTACAAGTTTTCAAAAGTTCAAATCTGACTTTATATTTAAGATTTGACCTTCAATGTCATTTTCAAGGTCAAAAAGGTCTTTTTTCAACTTGCATCAAAGTGACCTATCTTTTTTGTCAACATCATGTTCAAGTTATCAGAAATTTAAATCTGACCTAGGATTGAACTCATAATATTGTGAGCAACTAGGTGGTTACATTTTGTCATCTTAATGCCTTGTGCAATATAGAAATATTAACCTTATTAATTGGTCCTTAATTTACATGTTTATTACAACAATTGATCCAACAAAAATTGAATCATTGTACCTGTAACACAACTTTTTATTAACTTTGAATTTTTATCATTTTCAAATTTTATTTCTTTATTACAAGGTGGGATTAGTTTAGAAAAGGAATTAAAAATGATTGTCCATTTAATGATAACAACATTATTAATTTCACATATGTGATTCCAGGTGACAGGGTCCCTATCTGATGGTTTAGGCAACCTTACAATGGACCACAAACACCAGGACCTTCGTCACTCTATCAAATCTGACCACCAGGGATCAGGTGGGGCCCAGCTTGTGGGTGGCATCAAGGGCCTTGGGCACGGTCTTTGGGGTGGTCTAACGAGTGTTATATCGCAGACGTATGAAGGGGCAAGCTCTAAAGGAATTGAGGTTGGTTATATGTATATAATTGGATATAATCAGATTTAGTTAAGACCTATTTATAAAATAAAAACTCCACTTTTGACATGGCATGATTTAGAGTCATTCTCGTATGAGAAAATCTTTCTTGTACTCGTACCTGTGCAATATCGTCTTAACTCGCTTTGATAATGTTTCTTTATCTCGTCCGCGACTCGATGAAGAAGAATTATCAAAGCTCATCAAGAGTCGACGATCTTGCACAAGTACTCATATAAGAACCTCTTTATCTTTAGGGTCTAATTACTGGATTTGGCAAGGGAGTCGTAGGTACAGTGACCAAGCCTGTAGCAGGAGTGTTGGACTTTGCCTCAGGGACAGCTGGGGCAGTGAGAGACACAAGCAAACGTAGCATGCATCACACGCCAAACCCCATCAGGGAGCCACGGTGCTGTCACGGTCCTGGAGGGCTCCTGCCTGCCTTCTCCCAGCACCATGCACAGGCCCAGAGGTGCCTATTCAACCTTAATGATAACAACTATACAGAAAAGTAAGTGATGTTTTTATGTCACCATCACAAGTTGTGACATATTTTTATAGTCTCCAACTTTTTGTGGTCGGTGTTAGGCATTCAACGTTCGGCAGTCAGCATCTGTAACAAATGGAAGGTGGTGACATGTTAGTTCCTTTATTCATGATTTTACTATATAATTGTAACATTGTACAAGTACATTGTACAAGAGATACCCATAAGTAATGTAAGTTGATATATTTTATGAATTTCACAGATATATTAGACTTTTATATAAGCAATTATACAAGAAGCAATATTAAAGAAAATTAATTAGATTGATTTATTATTTGATGCAATACAAAATTTCCGTAGTAACTTTTGATGTCACTTTTGGTGTCATGTTGTCATAGTTTCCAAACTTGTGGATAGTGTTTGGTAGTTGGTGACATTTTGCCTTGTTAGCTCATTGTCTTAGAAATAGCATGCTCTGCATTTTGCTGGTGAGGTTGATGTATACAGAAGATTTAACCTGAACTTACCCCTCTTAAATACATGTAATATTAAATTACATGAATGTGAATGAACATGAAATAAATACTTTGAGATAAAAAACTATAACTCTAGGATTTTAGGTTCATAGCAATTGAGCATTTGAAATTTGATCGCAATGAGGCCTTAACAGTGTTGATATCTAGTGAAAGGGTGTACTTCAGGGTTTTACTTCTTTTATGTTTTTAGGTTCATAGCAATTGAGCATTTGAGATTTGATTGCAATGAGGCCCTAACTGTGTTGATCTCTAGTGAAAGAGTGTACTTTATGGGTTTACTTCTTTTATGTTTTTAGGTTCATAGCAATTGAGCATTTGAGATTTGATTGCAATGAGGCCCTAACTGTGTTGATCTCTAGTGAAAGAATGTACTTTATGGGTTTACTTCTTTTATGATTTTAGGTTCATAGCAATTGAGCATTTGGTCGCAATGAGGCCTTAACAGTGTTGATCTCTAGTGAAAGGGTGTACTTTATGGGTTTACCTCTTTTATGTTTTTAGGTTCATAGCAATTGAGCATTTGAGATTTGAACGCAATGAGGCCTTAACAGTGTTGATCTTTAGTGAAAGGGTGTACTTTATGGGTTTACTTCTTTTATGATTCCAGGTTCATAGCAATTGAGCATTTGAGATTTGATCGCAATGAGGCCTTAACAGTGTTGATCTCTAGTGAAAGGGTGTACTTTATGGGTTTACTTCTTTCATGATTCGAGGTTCATAGCAATTGAGCATTTGAGATTTGATCGCAATGAGGCCTTAACAGTGTTGATCTCTAGTGAAAGGGTGTACTTTATGGGTTTACTTCTTTTATGATTTTATAGATTCATAGCAATTGAGCATTTGAGATTTGATCACAATGAGCCACTAACAGTGTTGATCTCTAGTGAAAGGGTGTACTTTATGGGTTTACTTCTTTTATTTTTTTAGGTTCATATCAATTGAGCATTTGAAATTTGATCGCAATGAGCCCCTAACAGTGTTGATCTCTAGTGAAAGGGTGTACTTTATGGGTTTACTTCTTTTATGTTTTTAGGTTTATAGCAATTGAGCATTTGAGATTTGATCGCAATGAGCCCCTAACAGTGTTGATCTCTAGTGAAAGGGTGTACTTTATGGGTTTACTTCTTTTATGATTTTAGGTTCATAGCAATTGAGCATTTGAGATTTGATCGCAATGAGGCCCTAACAGTTTTGATCTCAAGTGAAAGGGTGTACTTCATGGGGAAGAGAGACTTCTCGCCCAGTAGTGTTGTCCTACAGGTGTCCTATGAAGAACTCTACAATGCTAAATGTAGCCCTAAAGGTAAATGAAGCTCTAACTGTAAATGATGTCCTTTGGTAATTATGGTGGCCCTGAAGGTAATCCAAGGCCTAATGGTAAATCCATCCCTAAAGGTCAACGTAGCCCTAAAGGAAAATATAGCCCTATCGGTAAATATAGCCCTAATGTAAATGTAACCTGAAAGATTTAAAATATAGCCCTACAGCTAAATGTAGCCCTGAAAATTCTCAAATATATTTTAAACGAAATCATTAAAATCAACAATAGACTTGGGCATAAACTTTTAAAAATAAAAATTGAGTTGCATTTTAAGAAAACTTTGAAATGTGAATGCCTGCTAATCCCAACACTTTTGTCCAAGATGGATTCGTATTAGAGAGATTTTACTTTATATCATTATGCAAAAAGAAAAAAGATTGAAAATAAAAATGGCAGATTTAAGTCAAAATATACTTTCAGATAATAAATACTATGTGGAGCTCACGATGAAGCAATTAGAGACACGGAGCCATAAAGTGAAGGATCAGGATCCCAAGAAACGACCAATCATACGCTGTGACTCGGAAAATATCGCCATGAAGGTGCTTCACCCTATTCTTACTTAAAAAATGTTAACATGCATGTGCATATAGTATTTCAAGCTGAGATATGAAAATAGCACAAATTGTAATTATGAATAACTGGTAAACCTTTATTAAAAAGGGTAGAATATCTTCATAAAATTTAGACATCAATCCCTTCTAATGTTTAAACGACAATTGAATCGCTCAGTGTTGTAATTCTTCACATTGGGTTTGCATTTGCTATTTATTCAATTCAATTCCATTCAATTTCAGGTTTCTCAACAGATCATATATGCCAAGAACCTGTTTGATGAACAGAAACAAAGCTTGAACTTATCATAACAGAGCTATATATCACAAAAGAGCTTCAATGTATCACAACAGAGCTAGAATATATCACAGCGGGGCTTCAGTGTATCACAACAAAGCGTCAATGTATCAATACAGAGCTTCATTGTATCACAACAGAGCCTCTGTGTATCACATCAGAGCCTGAATGTATCACAACAGGGCTTCTGTGTATCACATCAGAGCCTGAATTTATCACAACAGAGTTTCTGTGTATCACATCAGAGCTTGAATGTATCACAACTGAGCTTCTTTGTATCACAACAAAGCTTGTATCAAATGAGTTGGGAATAGATTGGCACTCAGAAAGTGAGTTTATAAATATCATACATGAAATATGAAGTGCTTGAAAGTATAATTAAAATGAGTTTGGATGTATCAAGCAGTACAAGAATAGATCACTGACAGAAGGAAGGACTGATTTGAACTGACACTCAATGTAACTTAATCAGAGGCTGGATGTATCTCAACAGAGCTTGGGTGTATCACCAAAATGGAGCTCGGGTCAGTGGGTATACATATATGTCATGTATATCAGTTTGATTTGAAGGTATCACAACAACAGAACTTGAACAGAGGTTGGAATGATTTATCTCAACAGAACTTGGGTGTATCACCGAAATGGAGCTTGGGTCAGTGGGTATATATGTCATGTATATCAGTATGATTTGAAGGTATCACAACAACAGAACTTGAACAGAGGTTGGAATGATTTATCTCAACAGAGCTTGGGTGTATCACCGAAATGGAGCTTGGGTCAGTGGGTATATATGTCATGTATATCAGTATGATTTGAAGGTATCACAACAACAGAACTTGAACAGAGGTTGGAATGGTTTATCTCAACAGAGCTTGGGTGTATCACCGAAATGGAGCTTGGGTCAGTGGGTATATATGTCATGTATATCAGTATGATTTGAAGGTATCACAACAACAGAACTTGAACAGAGGTTGGAATGATTTATCTCAACAGAGCTTGGGTGTATCACGGAAATGGAGCTTGGGTCAGTGGGTATATATGTCATGTATATCAGTATGATTTGAAGGTATCACAACAACAGAACTTGAACAGAGGTTGGAATGATTTATCTCAACAGAGCTTGGGTGTATCACGGAAATGGAGCTTGGGTCAGTGGGTATCTATATGTCAGTATGATTTGAAGGTATCACAACAACAGAACTTGAACAGAGGTTGGAATGATTTATCTCAACAGAGCTTGGGTGTATCACGGAAATGGAGCTTGGGTCAGTGGGTATATATGTCATGTATATCAGTATGATTTGAAGGTATCACAACAACAGAACTTGAACAGAGGTTGGAATGATTTATCTCAACAGAGCTTGGGTGTATCACCGAAATGGAGCTTGGGTCAGTGGGTATATATGTCATGTATATCAGTATGATTTGAAGGTATCACAACAACAGAACTTGAACAGAGGTTGGAATGATTTATCTCAACAGAGCTTGGGTGTATCACCGAAATGGAGCTTGGGTCAGTGGGTATATATGTCATGTATATCAGTATGATTTGAAGGTATCACAACAACAGAACTTGAACAGAGGTTGGAATGATTTATCTCAACAGAGCTTGGGTGTATCACCGAAATGGAGCTTGGGTCAGTGGGTATATATGTCATGTATATCAGTATGATTTGAAGGTATCACAACAACAGAACTTGAACATAGGTTGGAATGATTTATCTCAACAGAGCTTGGTTGTATCACAGAAATGGAGCTTGGGTCAGTGGGTATATATGTCATGTATATCAGTATTATTTGAAGGTATCACAACAACAGAACTTGAACAGAGGTTGGAATGATTTAGGGTTGAGTTTTCTAATAGTTGAAATGTCAATGTTCTGTGAGTAGTTTTAATTGTAATTGAAGGGGTGTAAATTTTGTATATTTTAACATACCATGTACCAAAAGAAGTACACTACATGTTAGGATCACCCTTTGGCAGGTGGGAACATTGTGCACTTTTTATATGACATTTTCTAGAAACGGGGCCCTTGGTTTGGATTTAATTCAATAAATCAATGCAAGGGAACTGTATGCTATTGTTTTTGACATTCTGTATATCCTTGTTTTAATAAATTATACTTGAAACCGTTTTTATAACTTATCACAGTATCACCAGATATAGTGAAATTCATTTTCTTACAAATCCGGAAAAATTTGAGAAACTAGAATTTCAGAAATCTGAATCATGATATTTTCTAGGAATGGGGCCCTGGAGTGGGTTTGGATTTAATTCAACAAGTCAATGCAAGGGGACGGGATGCTGTTGTTTTTGACATTCTGTATATTCAGTATTTATTAAAGTTTTAGTTAAATGCATGGCATTGGCATATAATATGTAGTTATACAGAAAATGTTCATATGAGTGGATGAATAAGGGAATCAAGGAGAGGCCTTGAAATTTTGTTGTTGCAGTGACCTGAACTTTTTAAGAAAAAGTCTAGGCCTTAGATTTAAAGGCAGAATCAGATCTATACAGGGAGTGACAAAATTGCAACAATATGTACAATTGATCTACCAATGTTTTCCTTACAACCTCACTAATATAATATCTCCCAAAAGATCCTCGATATGTTATCAATCGGTGAAGTGATTCAAAGTGCGAAAATGGGGGGGGGGAAATATTTAAATTCCCCCAATTTTCATCAAGAAGGAGCAGCAAAGTAATCGCTATGGTAGATCCGATTCTGCCACTAAAGGCTAGAGCCTTGTTTTTCTTGTCTGTTCCATCCCACATTCTGATGGTCTCTCTTAGTATAGGTATATAAAACGAAATTTTTATATGTGATAGTTATTTGGTTATGTATATATAACTATGTATATAATATAAGGAAATGTTACGTTTTGTATATTATAATAAGAGGGCAGAAATTTTCAGAAAATAAACTCTGAATTGAAAATTCATTTGTTTGTGTTTTATTTGATTTTATGTCCATATTACAGTATTAACGTCTTCTTGTTTTATCATCCCATATATGGATAGTGAAACTTTGGCAAGTAAACTCCAATTTAGTGATTACCCCTCACCCCCCTGCCACACCAAACTAGTTCTTACCCGTTCTTGCCAGTACTACGAAAACGTCGTAAAACGGGCTCAATCTGGCTGTGGTCGGGAAATATGTCTAAAATAATTAGCTACTTCGTTCATAAACAGTCTTCAATACGTCCATCTCATTCGCAGTTCGTTCAGGTCGCACCACATCGGTGTGCAACGTCGAATAACGCGTCCCTTAGTCTAGAAGGTCATCATGACCTGATTACAGAACGGTATGGTCGCCATTCCCCGTTCGGGAAAGTCCATGAAGTTCGTAAACAGACCGTAGACGTTGCAGCTACGTTCATTCAGTTCGCACACAGTTTAAAACCGATTCGGCAACGTTTTGACGATCACCAGAAATTTCTGGAGGACCTATTAGCTCGTTCTAGTAGTTTCATGAAGTTTGTAAACAGATCCCAAACGGTTCTTAGTGGGTTCTTAGTACGTCAAATCCATTCGTGTATAGTTTAAGCCCGTTTTCGAGAACGTTGTGAGAACTAGCTTGGTGTGATAGTAGGGTTAACAACAACTTCCCACAACTCTCTTGTCATATTTCGAACACAGCTCTTTTATTTATCATATTTCCAATGTTGCTCTCTTGTCATATTTCCACTGTTGCTCTCATGTCACAGTTCAAACACTGACACTGCTTTTAAAACATATTTTCAATGTCTCTTGCATCTTTCTAACACTGCTCTCGTCATAATGTTGCTCCACATTTCTTAACTCGAGATGTAGCGTCTGTCACTACATGTGAATCCGAGCAGAGGTTCAACGAGATTCATTTGCTGAATACTTACACCTTGCCTCTAAGAAGGAGGAACGTGTATCTACATCAACTACACTTTTTGCCGATGACGTAACTGGGACTTACCGTAGTTTCGGTAACAAGATGGCTCCCGTTCCGGCTGGAAGGTTCAGTAAGATTTTTCATTTTCCTTGATTTCTCGAGACCTTGCATAAATCATCTTTTCGCCACAAACATGTAATGTATAAGACCATGTTTCGTGAAATTCAAGTGATGTTGCACGGAATAGTTCGTAGGAGAATGAATGGTCCATCACTTTTGTTACGTAGACGAATCGGTTGAAAATTGGCAATGAAACGACGTCGAAGACGATCGTACTTTTGATTTTTGTTTACAACATGTTAAATTCTCATTGAAATTATGTTTTCATCTTTAAAATTAAATCAAAGAACTGAAAAAACTTGAATCACAGATTCATTTGGGACAGAGGCATTCCGTTTGCAACATATTGCTGTGGATAAACAATTTTTATTGCAAAATATAGCAAAAATGCTCACCTCTAATGCATTGAAATAGACTTTAGTTAGAAACAAGGCATTAACATGCCAAAATGTCACCACCTAGTTGCTCATAATATTATTAGTTTAATCTTAAGTGACTATTGACCTTTGATGTTCACACAACAGTCATTTAAAGAGCATATACCATTTTTGGTGTTTTTACAAAATGTCTTTATTTATTGTTGTCTAAGTAAATAAAATGTATTTATACAGGGTGTTCAGGAAATTAAGATAATAATGTCATCACTTTTTATTTATACATGGATTTCAATAAAATTTGCAGGGATTTTAGTTTCAACATATTTAAAATTACTTGTGGAGTTTCAACTTCAAGCGATTTGATTAGTAAACCAATTAAACATATATTAAGATGTATTATATGAAATACTGAAGAAAATATACGATAAAAACTATTTTCATGGAAAAGCACATAGGGCAATATTGGCAAAATGCAAATGCTATTTTGGTAGGGTTAATCTGGGCTAGCAATGGGTACATTCCGACTGTGACTGTAATGGATTACGATTGACTTTTATCAACATCACAGGGCAACATTTGAGCAAATTAAATACAAGGAAAATCAAAGATTTCCTCTCATTTCTAAAACGAGGAACAAAAGTATGAATTCAAGGAAAAGAAAGGATGGCCTGTGCCAAAATATAACATATGAGAAAGTTGTTACACAGTAAAGGATACACTCTTAAAAATGAATTACTTGAGTATTTCCCAAGTATTTCCCAAGTATAAAAATTACTTAAAGTTAAATACTTAGTTTTACTTCATTTTACTTGGGTTTAACTTATATTGTCATTTTGAGTTTTTTAATTGCTTAATTATGTAAATGAGTATTACAATTACTACAGTAAGTATTTCAGTTTCTCTCCTTGCATTAGTAAATTCACCATAAATGAATTACTTAAAAATTACTTAAAAATTATCCAGTAGTTCAAGATTATTTAAGTCATTTTTGACTTAAAATGAGTAGTACAATTTCTCAATATAAGGAAATCCAAGTAATAATTTTTAAGAGTGTATGTAAAGGATATCATATGATTTTAAATGATTTCATCTTTATCTCCGAGTTGATATCAATATCTTGCCAAGTTAGCATAGCGAATTAGCGCAGATGTTAACACGATGTCACAAAAATTCATAGGATGTTCTATTTATCCCATAATTCACCTATTAATCTAAACAAAACATATCAAAACAACATCCATTCA